CTGCCTCAAAGCTGCTCGCTCCCAAGACGTCGTCACAGAAACAGCCGCGGGCTCGCCAGCCCAGGCCAAATCCAGACTCCACGGGCACCCAGCCCGAGCAGGGCCACGCCAGCCAGATGAGCACCAGGGAAGAAACTGATAGCCTGACAACAGGTCCTGGGGGCCCCCTACGGGGCTTCCCACCTGCCGGCAGAGCCATAGACCCTGGCCAGGCTGCTCTAGAACTCGCAGAGTTCCAGATTCCAGGTCCCCTGGGGGCTTTCTAGAAATCTGCTTCCCAGTGGATGACGTGCCCTGTGGTGTGTGCATCCTGGGGTTGTCACTACCAAACATCTCCCAAAAATGCTGTGGGAGGTACAGGAGAGGAGTAAGGCTTGCTCTCAAGGGGCCCACAGTCTAATGGGGAAACCGACAAGCCATCTCACAGCAATAGGTGTGCTGAGGGATTACCTTCTCTATGTAGAGAGATCTGGAAAGGTGTCCCAGAGGTGGTGACAACTGAGCAGGGTTTTGCAGGACGCATAGGAGTTTCCCAGTCTTCAAGAGACAGAAGAACTTACCAGGCATCGGTCTCAGCATGAAAAGAGGCAAGGAAGAGTTCGCCTTGTGGGACAGGCAGTCAGTGGCCTCCGTCACTGTGGCGGGAGAGCCTGTTTATCCGCAGAGCAGAGCTGTGGGGGGGAGAAACAGGCAAGGCGGCCTTGAGGCTGATCTCTGCTCCTCCGCCGAGGCCCCTGCTAAGGCTGCGGGTTCCCGCCTGTCCGTGAGCGCTGCCTGGGCCAGAATCTCCCCCAGCAGCCTGGGTCTCCCCGCCTGCCTCCCCCACTGCTGGCTTCCCTTGCACTGAGAGGTGATGCTGTGCCCCCATCTGTGTGGGCCACAGGGGAGGGCTGAGGGCTGGCAAGGACAGCCCTGCCCGGTCTCTGGCCCCTGGCTCCCATCCACACCTTGGTGTCTGGCGTGTGGTGTGGACCCCACCGGAGCTGGCTGCAGGCAGATCCAGGGTGTGGGCGTTTGTGGGTCTGGGTCATCAATGGGGGTGCAGGGCCGGCCCCCTCCTCTGGGAGGCAGCAGGACCCTCAGCCTTCCCTGCGACTTATTTATAGCCTGGCTATGGTAATTTGTGGCAATGACAGCGTCTAATCCTGTAAGCACATTGCAAGCCGGCAGCCAGCACAGCCGGGCCGGGAGCCTGCCAAGGCTCAGGCAAGGATCCGGCGGCGCGTCAGGGACCGGGGAGGCAGTGATGCTCCCACCGGACTGTGGCTGCGTCTCGTCAGCTGTGGCCCCAGCCCCGTGCCCCCAGGGTCCCGTGAGGATAGCAATGATGATGATGATGCGGACCTCAGCAGCCAGCGCCTAGGACACTGCGTATGCGCGCTGCCCTTCCTGAGCCTGGGGGGGGGGGGGGCCTCATGCACCCTGGGCGCTGCTCTCTGAGGTCGGGACTGTTAGTGTCCCACACCCCGGATCAGGACACTGAGGCACAGATGCTATGAGCCAAGGATTAACCTCGGGCTCCAAAGTCCAGGATTTTTTTTTTTTTTTAAGATTTACTTTGGCTGCAGCAGCGGGAGCTGGGCCAATCCAAAGCCGGGAGCTTCCTCCAGGTCTCCCACGTGGGTGCAGGGGCCCAAGGACTTGGGCCATCTTCCACTGCTCTCCCAGGCCACAGTAGAGAGCTGGATTGGAAGTGGAGCAGCCGGGACTCGAACCGGCGCCCATATGGGATGAGGGCACCGCAGGCGGCTGCTTTACCCACTATGCCAGAGCGCCGGCCCCCAGTCCATGCCCCAGAAGTGAAGGGTTGTGCCAGGCTCCATCCCTGTGTCCCCCGCTCTGCCCATGCCCCTTCCCACTCTCAGCTGCAGAGACCCCGCATGTGGCTGGCTGTGTCTTGGGGAAGCCCCTCTCAGCGTCTGCCCTCTGTCCAAGAAAGAGGTGTCGGGGCAGTGAGACGGACCAGAGCCTTCCCGGGCTGTGGGCCCGCTGGTCCTCACTGGAAACTGTGCCGGTGGGAAGGGCAGGGCAGCACTGGGCCAAACGCAGTCCTCTGTGGGACCTGGCTTCTCATGCCAGCTCTGTCCCTCACCCTTACTCGCTGTGAGGCCTAGAGCCAGCGACCGGGGCTCGTCTGCCTCAAAAGCATCCAGACCCCGAGGGAGCCAGTGAGGACTCTAGGGAGATGGCGTCAGTAAACCAGGAAGGTCCTGGCACGTAGTAAGTGCTCAGTTAACCCGAGTCATCGCTGTCTTCTTGTGCTGTGCTGGGGTCCTGAGGCCCGGGCTGAGGGCCCCTCCTGTAGAGCCCAGGGCAAAGTCTTCCATGTGTAGGGAATCAGGCGGGGCAGGCCGAGCTGCTGGAAGGAGCGCGAGTTCCTGGGCAGAGCCAGGCTCTCATCGAGTTTTCCCCTCCATCGTCCAGGAAATGATTTCCTGCCCGTGTGGGCAGCGTGGAGCCCCCCAGGGCAGTTCCTGGTGGCCCAGGGGTGCATCTATGAGGATGGCTTCTCCCGCGGAGTTCCCAGTGGGGCGCCCTCCCCGGTGCTGGCAGTGGCTCAGGGGGTGGTGACATAGGTTGGCCACAGTTGCCCCTGGAGCCGCTGGGAAGGACCCTCCCCAGATGGGACTCCCAGGGGGGACGGCAGGTTCACAGGGGCATGTGAAGAGGGAAGGGATCACCCTGGTCTGCAGCAGGCTGCTTTTGGAGATGAGTGAGCTCCCCGTCAGTGGAAGCAAACAAGCCGCACACACAGGAAGTCACGGCCGGCTCATGAGGGAGGAGGGAGAGGGCGTGAGGGAGGATGGAAGGGAAGACAGACTCATTTGGGTGGGCGTGGCTGTTGGATGGAATTGAGGTCTCTCTGCACCTGGAGTCTAAGAGCTGGCACCAAAGTGTGAGCCCACAGGTGGTCGTCTCCCCTGCGAAGCCCCACTCTGAACCTCTCAGGCCTCACGGGCTGATGGTCTCTGGGCAGCTCCTGCGGGCAAAATGCAGATGAGCGAACCCGGCTGTGCTCCCATAAACCTTTATCACAGCTGGGGGCTGGTGGGCTGTGCTTCCCTCCCCCCCGTGTTAGAGAAGTAAGGGTTCAGGGAGGGCTTCCTGGAAGGGGTGTCAGGCCTGGGCAGCTGGCGGGAGTGTGCACGGCATTTCTGGCAGTGGCTGGCATCAGCCCAGAGCTCGTGGCTGATGCTGCCTTCCCCGCGGCGCCCTGTCTTGCTGTCTCCCTGGTAGCTTCCACCAGATGTTTTCTGGATCAGTGTTTTCCCAGCTGTGCTAGTCAGGGGTGTCTGGCGATACAGCGAGAGATGGACAAGGAGCTTTGTTACGGGACTTGCTCTCACACCTGTGCAGGCTGTCGTCTGCCTGCTGAGCGCCCAGGGAAGCCAGCAGTGTAGATCCAGGCCAGGTCCAAAGACCCGGCAACCAGAGGAGCCGGCAGTGTGGACCTCGGTCCGTCTGAAGGTCAGGGAACCAGAAGTGCTGATATCCCGGGCAGGAAGAGGGGCCGGGCTGGCGTCGTGGTGCAGTGGGTTAAGGCCCCATGTACGATGCCGGCATCCTGTATAGGCACTGGCTCAAGTCTGACTGCTCCTCCTCCTCTTCTTCTTCTTCTTTTTTTCTTTTTTTTTTTTTTAAGGTTTGTTTATTTGAAAGGCAGAGTTACAGAGAGGCAGAGGCAGAGGCAGAGAGAGAGAAAGAGAGAGAAAGAGGAAAGTCTTCCACCCGCTGATTTACTCCCTAGATGGCTGCAGCAGCCAGAGCTGTGCCGATCTTAAGCCAGGAGTACAGGGGCCAAAGGACTCGGGCCATCATCTGCTGTTTTCCCAGGCCACAGCAGAGAGCTGTATTGGATGTGGAGCAGGCAGGACTTGAACCGCTGCCCATACACTACGCCACAGCACTGGCTCCTGCTCTGCTTCTGATCCAGCTCTCTGCTAATGGCCTGGGAAAGCAGCAGATGATGGCCTGAGTGTTTGGGCCCTTGCACCCATGTGGGAGACCTGGATGGAGTTCTGGGCTCCTGGTTTCGGCCTGGCCCAGATCTGGCTGTTATGGCCATTTGGGGAGTGAACCAGCAGATGGAAGATCTCTCGCTCTGTCTGTCTTTCACTATCCCTCTGCCTTTCAAATAAATAAAAAAGGGAAAAGAAAAGGAGACTGGTGATTCTGCTTCTTGTTCGTTCTGTGTTCTCAGTAGATGGGGAAATGACTGTCCACATTGGTAAGGGTGGGACAACCTTTATTATTATTAATTTTTTTTGCAAAAAGTAATTAATTTATTTGGAAAGCAGAGAGAGAGAGAGAGAGAGAGAGAGAGAGATCTTTCATCCACTAGTTTACTTCCCAAATGGCTGCAACAGCCAGGGCTGGACCAGGCCAAAACCAGGAGCCAAAGCCTCCATCCAGGTCTCCCACGAGGGTGGCAGGGCCCGAGTTCTTGAGCCATCATCCTCTGCCTTCCCAGGTGCCTCAGCGGGGAGCGGGATGGGAAGTGGAGTGGCTGGCACTGGAGTTGGGTTTATGATGGCGGCTGCAGGCGTCTCCGCCGGGATGTGCTGCACACTGGTGTCCAGGGCGGCCCCTCTTGACTCGCCTACTGATGCCACGCTACCCCTCCCAGAAGCCCTTCGCAGACACGCCTCAGCTGGGCACCCCGAGCTCAGTGAAGGTGACAAGGAATGAACCATCACCCAGCTGACTTTGGGGCCTCAGCCTGCAATCGCGGAGGTCCTCGCCTGCTCGCATGGCCGCAGCTGTCCTTGGCGAGGGACGGCAGGGCGGCTCCTCCCTCCGACGCCCCTCCTTGCTGCAGGGTCAGCCTCCCCCCGGCCTGCCTCTGCGCCTCTTCCTTCCCTTGGGAGGAGAGAGGGTTCTGTGCAGTGTGGCGTTCAGAGGCAGGGGACTGGCCGGGCTGACTCGCCCGAGCTCCAGACTGGAATCGGGGCCCCCCCGGCGTGGGCGGCCGCTGCAAGGGCAGTTCTGTCCCCGTGCAGGAGAGCTGTACCGGGTTTCCTTGAGAAGGCAGAAGTTCCCGGCCCAGGGCAGCATCGAGATCCATGAGGACAGCGAGGTGAGCCGGGCTTGCGAGGGCCCCGCCCTGTCGCCGGGATTCGGGATGAGCCCCTGGCTGCCTGGCCCCTCGGTGGCTCCGGGCATGTGCCCGGCCTCCAGGCTCCCCTGGAACATCCACGGAGGCTCTGACCCTCCTGGGAGCCTGTGCCCCTCACTTGGAATGCACTGGTGGCTCCGTCCTCCGGGGCTGTGGTGGGAGCTGAGCAGGCCGGGCACAGCGCCTGCTTCCCTGGCTGCGGTCCCGCCCATCCTCTGCCACCCGCCCGTCTCTGTCCCCCCCGCTGCCCCCCGCAGGAAGGCTGCCCGCAGCGCTCCTGCAGGACCCACGTGCTCCTGCTGGTGTTGCACGGCGGCAACATCCTGGACACGGGCGCCGGGGACCCCGCGTGCAAGGCCGCCGACATCCGCACCTTCGGCTCCGTGCTGGAGAAGGTCACGCGCGCCCACTTCCCCGCGGCCCTGGGCCACATCCTCATCAAGCTCGTGCCCTGCCCGGCCATCTGCTCCGAGGCCTTCTCGCTCGTCTCCAAGTGAGTCCCGCCCGGCTGGTGGGGGAGGGGCACCTGGGGGGCCGGTGGGTGCCCGCCGAGGCCTCTGTGGCCCGTCACAGCTCCTGGCCCACCAGGGCCGTCCCTGGTGGAGTCTCTGCCCAGAGCTGGGTGGTGCCGGGTCCCGTCCCTTAGTAGCTTAGATCCACTTCCTGTGCTCGCTGGCCCAGAGAGGGAAACGGAGGCACTGAGGGGTTCAGCATTTTCCCCCGGGGCCACCCAGCAAATGGAGCCAGAGGGGAAAGCGGGTCACAGGCTTATAGCCCAAGAGGACCCTGTGCCACAGGGAGAGGGCCAGGGAAGCCTCCCTGGAGGAGGCGGCTTCTGAGTGTATAACAGGGTGAAATGTGTGGCCTCTTACCGGCCTGGATTAGAGACCCGGGGAAAACTGTTTCACCTCTCCTTGCCTCAGTTTCCTCATCTGTAAAATGGGGGTGATAACAGTGAGGAGCAGCTCTGGAGCTGGGGTGAGGCCCCTGCACGCTGGTGTGCATGGAAAGCAGAGCGTGTGGGGACGCCCCGCCTGGGACTGGCATCAGCGGCCTCCGGCGCCGCTCGCTGGCATCTCCCTGTCAGTGAGGAGGAGGGCAGGATGTCAAGGGCAGCCCCTGGTGACCGCTCGATGCCTGGGGGACAAACCAAGAGAGCAGGGGCTCCTCCAGGGCCTAGGTCCCACCCCCAGCTCCCCCAGTGCCAGGTGTGTGGAGCCAGCCGGACACACGGGCTCCTCATCGCCGACCTGTGTCACAAGGGCCCCACTCACTGGGCCAGGAAGCTGGAAGCTGGCAGCCCTGTGAGTTGGGGAAGGGAGGAAGGTCCTTGCCCCCCAGCCCCTCCCCCAGCACGACTCTGCCAGAGCTCTCTTTGAGAGAGCTGGGCTGTGTGGGCAGCTCCCAGGGCCCCCGGAGAGCGGGAGCCGGTGCTGTCCGTCAGATGCGGCACTGAGGAGCAGGCCCCTCTCTGCCCGCACCGGGTGGGTGATCTGTGTCCCTGGGACCCCCACGGGGCAGCGCTCAGAGCTAGAAGGCGGGAAGGGGCTTAGGTCAGTAGCTCGCGTCCCAGATCCCTGGTGGGGATGTCCGGCAGCGCCCCCCGCCCCCTGCAGAGGCCCAGTCAGGAGGGGGAGGAGCCCTGGAATCTGCATCTTGGCCGCCCGCTCTGCAGCGGGCATCCGCTGAGCGGATGGCGGAGCCCAGACGATCCCGGAGTTAACTGTGCTGCTTCAAAATCAGTCTCAGGACCCTCCTCTCTCGCCAACCGCCCCCTACCCCGGCCCCCATGCCTTCTGACCTCCAGAGCTGGGTCACACCTGTCTCTGGGAAGACAGATGGCCAGGCCACTTGAGGGAACGGTGACCAGGAGCTTACCTGACCCCCAGGCAGCCCCCGGCCAGGCCCATCAATCAGCCACCGTCACTGCTGGGAAGGAGTGTGTTCCCAGCTAATTAAAATCTCTCTGGCTCCGGTTGAAGCTGTTTCCTCCAATTTGAGCTCTTTTGAGATGAGGAATGGTTGGTGGGGCTGGCCCTGCACTCCGTGGGGATTCTGCCGCGTGCCCCAGATCTGGAGGGTCCCCGACCCTGCGCCCTACGTCACCCTTGGACTATGGGGGATGGGCAGGCTCTGGGCCTGGGTTGGGGGGAACCTCGCTCTGCAGTGCCTCTGGGACAGAAGCCCCAGGGGACAGAACCAAGACAGGTGGAGAAGGCAGGGCGGGCTCCTGGCGGGGGGGGGGGTGTCTCGTGGATCCGAGCTGCCCGGGGAGGGCGGGAGGGAGGGACTTCCTGGTGGGAAGACAGGGAGTGAGGGGCGCCTCTGCAAAGTCCAGAGGAGCCCCAGGGGTGAGTACGTGGGTGGACACGCCCTCCTAGCCCTCTCCGTAGTCACAGATGTCCCCCAGAGCTGGGGGAGCCCCACACAGTGAACACGGCGTGGGCGCACAGCCTCTGAGCTGTGATCACCTCGGGATCCCCATGCCTGGCAGCCAAGCCCACCTCCTCCAGGAAGTCTGCCGTGAGGACAGGCCCCTGCCCTGACCGCTGCCAACTGGCTCCTCAGTTGCTTCCATCCCCCACAGTTGGGGTGTCCTTGGGGGCATGCAGAAGAGGGCAAGAGGACATTGTTCTTGCAGGAGACCCCAGGAATGGACACCGGGGACTCAGTACAGGCTCGGGTCCCTGCCCCCACTGCCGCCTGGGCTCTGACACACACAGCTCCTGCCCGGGGATTCCTCTAGGGTCCCTGGGGCCGAGGACCCCATGCCTGGCCAGCAGGTGCTGTCTTCTACCCGGTCCTCAGCCCCAACCCTGCCCTCTGGCCTGGTCCCAGCTGGGCTTACCCTGGGCCCCTGTCTGCAGCCTGAACCCCTACAGCCACGACGAGGGCTGCCTCAGCCACAGCCAGGACCATGTCCCTCTGGCCGCCCTGCCCCTGTTGGCCATCTCCTCCCCGCAGTACCAGGATGCTGTCGCCACTGTCATCGAGCGAGCCAACCAGGTGTACACGGAGTTCCTCAGGTCCGCTGACGGCGTTGGCTTCAGTGGGCAGGTAGGACAGCCTGGCTGCCCGACCCGGCCCAGCCTGCGCTGGGACAGAGGCTGGGCCCTGCCCCGGGGGACCCACACAGACCATTCTGGAACCAGAGCATCTGAGATCGCAGGAGGCTTTCAAGTTCTTGGGGTTTGCCCTCATTTTACAGATAGGAAAACTGAGGACGACGATTGGAGTGTTCATTTGGAGCCCACGCTGGTCCCTGGCTTGAGCCGGATGGCCAGCTTAGGCTGGCCCCCCAGGCCGAGGTTAACCCTTGACCCCCTGGAGGAGCACCCCACGTGGTGCCTCCCAGGACAGCTCCTTCCCTGGTCTCTGGCTGGATGGGTACCCTCTGCTCCTGCTGGGTGTGGTGGGGGTCGGCGGGGGAGGGGGGCAGGCCTGCAGCCCCAGCTCTGCCTCTTCCAGGTGTGTCTCATCGGGGACTGTGTGGGCGGCCTCCTGGCCTTCGACGCCATCTGCTACAGCGCGGGGCCCTCGGGGGACAGTCCCGGCAGCAGCAGCCGCAAGGGGAGCATCAGCAGCACGCAGGTGCGGGCAGGGGCGGGGCGGGGCGGGGCGGGGTCTGTGTCCCTGGGAGCCCGCCCCTTGCCCCACCCGGGGTGGGGGGCGGGAATTGGTGCTGTCCTTCATGTTGGCACCGGGACGCACACAGGGACTCCTCCGGGAGTATAGCTGGAGAATGAGGCCAGCAGGAGGCTGGCCCACCGGCCTCCTGTCTTTGGGGCTGTAGGAGGCAGCCCGCGCGGGGGCTTCCGCGTGCCTTTTGGCGCGGAAGGGGCTCATGCTGGCCTGGGCCGGGGCTGGGCCCGGGGTCTTGGTAACGGCCGGGCCCCCGTCTCTGCCCGGCTCCGCAGGACGCCCCGGGGGCGGTGGACGAGGACTGCAGCCTGGCCGGCAGCAAGCGGCGCAGCAAGAGCAACATTGACCTGTCCAGCGGGGCGGAGGCCGCTGAGCCCAAGAGGCCGCTGCCGCGGAAGCAGAGCGACTCCTCCACCTACGACTGCGAGGCCATCACCCAGCACCACGCCTTCCTCTCCAGGTGACCGGCCTTTCCACCAAAGCGTCCAGGGCGGAGAGCACGTGGCGCGAGGCCCTTCCCTGCGAGGCCTGCCCTGCAGGGAGACCTGGGGGCCTGCTTCCCTGTCCCTGCTCTGGCTGGCTGGCGGGCGGCAAGTCTGGGGGCAGCCGCTCCACCTCTCTGAGCCCCCACTTCCCCTTCTGCCCAGACTGCTTCACGGAGGGGATTGGGTGAACTAGCAGAGACGGGGTAGGCTGGGAGCCTCCCCAGCCGTGTGCTTCTCATTCCTGGGAAGGTGTGGGAAGGCCGTGCGGCCTGTTGTGGGGGACCCAGGGCCTGCCTTCTGGTCTCTGGTCCCCAGTGTGGTGGGTAGGCGAGGTGGGCCCCAGCTGGTGCGCCAGTGTGGGGTAAATGGCTCAGTTCATGCAGGGTACAAAGGAGGACTGAGCGGAGATGCAGCTCAGAAGAACTCTCTCTGCTTCAGTCGCCCCCCAACCCCGTCTCTCTCGCCTGTATGTTGAGTCCATGCAGTCCGGGCAGCATTTGGAAAACAGGTCGTCCCACCACGCGGGGAGAACCACTGCCAGTGCTTTAGGCTGCTTTCTCTCCATATCTATTTGGCATATCGTTCTACTTAAATCCCAAACCTTTTATAGTGTGAGCTTTTCTCCATATAATTAAAATACTTGGCACATAACCTTGATGGCAATATACTTTATTGAGGGAATAGTCCACAGTGTACTTAGTATCCGTGCCTGGACACTCCAGCTTGCACAGTGGGCATCTTTGGGAGCAAGCATTAGCATATTTCTTAGGGTCACAGTAGCCTCTCCATCTCCCTATCCGAGACTTCACTTTCTAGGGTGTCAGTTACCTGTGGTCAGCCGTGCTCAGAAAAGATCGAATGGAAAATTCCAGAAGCAGTTCCCAAGTTTTAAAGTACACGCCTGTCCGAGTGGCACTGTTCCAGGGACGGCAGCCCTAGGAGCAGCAGGGTCGCGGGGCTTGTGTTTGGCCAACGCTGATTTTGTTTGCTGGAGGCCCTAGTGCTCAGGGCGGTGATGCCAGGGAAGTGTTCCGTGGGAAGCGGGATGTCCTCGGCTTCATCCGGGTCTAGGTGTGTAGGAAGAAGCTGTGTGTGCAGTCCGAGGCTGGATGGTGTCACTGTTCCCGGCACCTGCAGAGACTGCTGGAACAGAGCTTCTGTCTTTGGTTCCCACCGATGGATTCCTGGGAGCAGACGACCAGATCAAAGATGTCGCCCGTTTGCGCTTTCTCTCCTCACAGATTCCCCTTTGGGAGAGCAGCTCCACGTGAGGCAGGCGTGCGGGCAGAAAGATCCCAGCATTTCTGGTTCATCCTTGAAAATTCCTTTAGGGCAGCGCCACATTTGCAGAGCGCCAGGAAAGGGAAGGCGTTGGGGAGCTGGCCCAGCCCAGGGACAGATGGCTGTTTGTTTGTCAATTAAATGGTTGGCGTTGGGGGGGGGGGCTGCTCTGTGTGCAGTGTGTGTTGTTCAGCGCCAGCATCACCGTCCTCCCCGGCAGGTGCTCGCCCTGCAAGAGGCCGGGGCTCAGCCTGGCAGATGTGCTCCCGCCAGCAGGGCGCGAACGCAGCGCGGGCTCTTTTTGGAGCAGTGGGCCCCTGGCAGGGGCCTGGCTGGACTCCCGGGGCATCTCCTGTCTTTCTCCCCAAGTTCTGCCCCGCCTGCCAGCTGGGGGCGGGGCGACCACGCTTCCTGCCCCTGCATCTGTGTCTGCGGGTTGCCTGGAACCTGAGTCGTGGCTGAAACCCTCATCCTGGCACAACCGACACGGGCCAGTGGGGCTGCGGTTTGACCCGGCTGGGCTTCTCCAGGAGCCAGTGCAGGGGCTCTCCGCATGCCCAAGCCCACACCAGCAGGACAGGGCGGGCCTGCCAGCGAGGGGACACCTGGGAGCTCTCAGGTGCTCAGCCTGTGGTTTGCAAATAAAGTTGTTCAGCGAGACAGCTGCGCGTGTTTAAGTGTCGCCTCGGCGGCTTTCTCAGCACGGCGGTGGCACAGGCGGGGGGGTGTGTGACGGAGTCTGCACGGCCCACGCAGGCTAAAATATTTACTCAGTGGCCCTGTGCAGGAGGAGCAGGCTGGCTCTGGGCTGGGCCACGGTGGCTGGTGCTGAGGCTGTCACCCGCTCACGCGGGGGGCTCTGCTTCCAAGCCTCCGGCACCCGCTCGGGCCCTCCCTGAGCTGCCGGCCCTGCCTCTGCCCCCCGACAGCATCCACTCCAGTGTGCTGAAAGACGAGGCCGAGCTCCCCGCCGCCAGGGCGCCCCCGCTGCCCGAGGTCAGCCTGGGCCGCTTCGACTTCGACGTGTCCGACTTCTTCCTCTTCGGCTCGCCCCTCGGCCTGGTCCTGGCCATGCGGAGGACGGTGCTGCCCGGGCTGGATGGTGAGTGCGACCTGGGCCATGGCCTGAGATGCCGTCCTCACTGGGCCACCACGGCAGGGCCTTGAGATGGGGCTGGGGAGGGTCATGGGATTTGGGGGAGGGGGAGGGGTGGGGGAGGGGAGAGAAAAGGGGGCAGAGTGGGAGGGGCAGTTTCCCCAGGTAGGGTGCAGGTGAGGCAGCTTCCAGTGGATTTCGTGGTAGATGCCCTGGCCGGTGTGCGGTCTCACTGTCCAGCAGCCGTGGCCCATGGGATGAGCAGCCACAAATACTCACCCTGCTGCACCCCACCCCTTCTTCCCCGGGGTGTCCAGGCAGCCCCACTGTCACCCCCCACATGCACCCAAGCCCACCTCAGAGCCTGTGCTTGTGCGTTGCCTGCAGCCTGGTCCTGTGGCTGTGAGATAGAGGGGTTGAGGGGTTCCAGCCGCGACTCAGGAGGGAGCGCGGACCGCCCCAGACTGGAGGACCCCAGGACATCAGTGGATCAGTGCTTTTGGTCCAGGCTCACTGACAACTTATGGAGCAGGTGGAGGGGTGGGGCCTGTGGTTGGAACGGAGGAGCAGAGTCAGACCCACAACTGCCCTCAGTCTCCTGAGCTGGAGGGACCAGGGCCTCAGTGGAGACACCTGCTGGCTAATGAGAGAAGTGCGGGGCCAGCTCTGGCAAACCCGGATCCCTAGCTAGCCTGGCAGTTGGACTTGAGGGCAGGATAGGGGTGTCCTGGGGGCCTGAGGAAGGGGCCACTGCCCCGACCGGAAGACCCCAGGTCGGCTTCCCTGAGCAGGTGGGAACTGAGGGAAAGCCGGAAGAACTGAAAGGAGTCTAACAGTGGAAAAGGTAGAAGGCGGGCTTTCTGGAGCAGGGCCCGGTACCGAGCAGGGAGGGCGGTGGTCTGCCTGGGGGGCTGCCGGAGTGCGGGGCGGGGAGCTTGCCACAGGCTGGGGTGCACAGTGGACAGTCCGGGACTTGGAGGCAGAGCCCTGGCCCTGTACCGGCAGCGCCCCGAGGCCGGCCAAGGCCTGGGACACCCAGGGGAACATGCGGTAGCAGGGAGCCATGGGAGGTTCCTGAGCAGAGGTGTGGGCTGCTCAAAGCTGCAGTCTGCCGAGGTGTCTAGGGCCCTGGCACATGCTTGATGAGGGGTTTGACAAGGACCGCCCCCCCGCCCCCGTGTCCTCCTCACTCTCCAGGTTTCCAGGTGCGGCCCGCCTGCAGCCAGGTCTACAGCTTCTTCCACTGCGCAGACCCGTCCGCCTCGCGGCTGGAGCCGCTGTTGGAGCCCAAGTTCCACCTGGTGCCCCCCGTCAGCGTGCCCCGCTACCAGAGGTTCCCCTTGGGCGACGGACAGTCCCTCCTCCTCGGTCAGTTCTGGGGTGGCTGGGCCCAGCCGGGTGACCCTTGACCCTCCCACCCCACCCCCCACCCCAGCCTACCCTCTCTGGCCCTGGCCTCTCCAGCCGTCAGTTAGGAGGGGATGCATCTGAGCAGGGTCTGTGTGCCCCTGGAGGAGAGACTGGGCAGGGGGCTGATGCCTCTGCCCACAGAGTGGCCCGCCTGAGCCAAGCACCTGGTCTGCAGGCCACACCTCGGGCCTTGGTCACCCATCCAGGGTCTGCCCCTCAATAGGCTCCACCTCCACCAAGATCCTGGGACTGGGGCTGGCATCTGACCCTCAGGCTGTCAGAGTTGATGGCAAGTCCAGGGAACCCATGCCCAGGGCTACTCCCAAGTGCCTGGGCCCTGGAGGGGGCAGGGCAGGGAGTGTATCATCCTGGTGGGCTTCATGGAAGAGGTGGCCTTTGGCCAGGGCCTGGACTGGGGACGTGTGTTTGGATGGGTGGAGAAGAGCTGGGGGTGGAGGGGGCAGCAGGGGCGAAGGCAGGTGACTTGGGGGCAGGGTCAGGTAGGGTGAGCTGGGCATGGGCCAGAGTGTTGCCAAGAGGAGGCCATCAAGGGCAGTCAGGGGCTTGGAGGGCAGAGCCCGGCTGCGTACCCCAGTGAGGGGGTGACCCAGGCCGCTCGGAAGTTGGGGCTTGGGGAAGAGTTTGGTTGCATCCCCCCGTGACCTTGGCTGTGGTTCCGGGCAATCTCACGGTCTGTCCCGGCAGCTCTGCTGGGAGTGGGGTGATGGCAGGGCCCCTGGCACATGGCCGTGCAGCTCACAACCTGGAGGAGGTGACGGAGAGAAAGCCTGCTGTGGCAGAGGGGCCCCTGCGGGCCCCGGGCCGGCAGACGCACAGGCTGCCTGCTGGGCAGGTGACCGAGCAGCCCAGCCTCCTGCCCGGCTCTGCTGGGGAGGCGCTCCCTGCCCTGACCTTGCAATTCCCCCTCCAGCTGATGCCCTGCACACCCACAGCCCCCTCTTCCTGGAGGGCAGCTCCCAGGACGGCCCACCGCTTCTGGAAGGGCCCGCGTCGCCCCCTCAGGTCCCGAGGTTCCAGCGCCCGGGAAGGAGGCCGAGCGAGGATAGCTCCCAGAGTGACAGCTCCGCGTCCTCCGACAGCCTGGCACCCGTGGGCGCCTCCCGCAGTGAGTGAGCTCCCTCTGGGGCCTGGCCTGCACTGGAGGGAGAGGGGCTGCTCCCAGGAGCCAGCTGCTGGGCGCAGGAGGTCGATAGGCCAGGGAGTCCCAGGTGACAGGCGGTGGCTCTGATCTTGAATAGAGCCCTAACCCCTCACCCCAGGGGGCCAAGACTGATCTTTGACCTCAACCAGAGCCCTGACCTCTGACCCTGGACTGGGCTCTGACCTCTGACCCCACCCAGAGGCCCCCGGGGAATCCCTAGGGGCAACAGCCATGGGGTGAGATGCTGTGGGTCTGGCTCACGCCGTGGGGCACCAGAGGTGATGGTGGGTGAGGGCAGTGCGTGGGGGAGGCAGGAGGAGGAGCAGTCCGGTCCCCAGAGCTTGGGTGCTGCAGCCCCCAGCTGGAGCCCCAGTGGCCCCTCCGCGTCTGGCCCTTGCTCACCTCCCTCTGGCCCCGTAGTCACGGCCGCATGGTGGGGCACCAAGAGGATCGACTACGCGCTGTACTGCCCCGACGCCCTTACCGCCTTCCCCACGGTGGCCTTGCCACACCTCTTCCATGCCAGCTACTGGGAGTCCACCGACGTGGTGGCCTTCATCCTGCGCCAGGTACAGCCTGCCGCCTTCCTGGGCCCTGCCCGCTGGGCACGGGGCCTTAACCCTGAGAGTGTGGTGTGGGAGGGCTTGAACAAGGTGACAGCGTGGTCAGAGACAGGGCTGTAGACAGAGCAGGGGCTTCTTGTGGCTGACCGGATGGCACCTTCTAGAACACGGGCTAGAAACTGCAGGTCTGCCCTGGTGTTTCACCTGGAGCCATCGGGAAGCCTGCTAAGATGGGGGGGAAGGGGGGCAAGGCAGTGGAGATGAGGCTTGGCTGCATCTTTGGGGAGTGTGGGTGTCGGAACTGGGGGTGCGATGGGCACGGCAGAGGCGCCGGGGTTCTAGGGAGAGTGCTTTTAACAAAGAGTCTAATCAGTCTGCCAGAGGGGGCGGGGCTGGGACCTGGGCTCTGGTCAGCCCTGGGTAGGGGTCACCTGGAGACAGGAGGGAGGACAGAGGATGGGTGCGGAGGCAAGTGGGTGGCCGCCAGGTTCAGGCCTGGAGGGCACGAGTGCCCTGGCCCAGCTGTCAGGATGGGCAGCAGGAAAACAGGTCCAAGGGTCCCCCAGCCTCCTGAGGGTTCCGGGCCGCGAGAGAACTGGCCCCGATGGGCAGCCGGGAGGGGCCTGACGCGGAGCCCTGCTCGCTGCCGGCCAGGTGATGCGCTATGAGACCGTGAGTGTCAAGGAGAGCGCTGGCCTGGACCCCGCGGCCCTGAGCCCCGCCAACCCTCGGGAGAAGTGGCTTCGCAGGCGGACCCAGGTCAAGCTACGGGTACGTGCACACGGGGGCCCCTCCACGTGGTCCAACAGGCCACACAGGCACTGCAGGGACCCTGAGTGGGTGGGATCCAGGCCCTGGGGCTGGTGAGGGGATGAGGAGGAGGTGCCTGGCTCCTGTGACACGGAAGGGACCCAAAATCAGTCCTGCCATAGCCCTGGGGCTCTCGGGCTGGCTCGCCGGCGAGCACGGCTGGGCACAATCCTGGCCGTGATGGAGGGAGGCACAGAGTGGGACAAAGATGGAAAGAAGGATCGTCAGGGCAGGATACACAGCGCTTGGGGTATTGAAGGATGAGTAGGAGTTCTGGATTCATAGATCCGTGTATTCACTCAGCAAACTGCCATCAGGGTGCACCGCATGTGCCTCTTGTTGCCAGGAAGGTGCAGACGCAGCCACGCTGTGGGGGCCCCTCTGGTCTGGCAGGAGGATTAGATGGGGACGCTCGGAACGAACCTAAAAGGTGGGAGGGTGAGCACTGTTTCAGGAGCCAGCTCTGTTTTGGTGCATGTGTTTACCAGGCTCTGTTTGCACACCGTGCAATTCAGCCGTGTGAGGGGTGCTGCCCGGTGGGTTTCCAGGCAGTCACCCTCGTGGGCAGCCTCACCACGATGCACGTGAGAAGGTTAACATCACCTCCACACAGACAGCCCAGACCCTTCCACTCCTGCCCCACTGCCTGCATCTCCCCGCCCGGGCTCTCAGCCGCCAGCCCCTGCCCCCAGTCTCCAGAGACCTTGTACGCGCGTGAGCAAACTCAGGGAGCTCGGGGTCTTTTGTGACCAGCGTCCGTGGCTTAGCACGGGGTTTTCATGGCACATCCAGGGTTGAGACAGCTGTCGGCACCTCGTGCCTTTTCACAGCTAAACACTGTTCCTTTGTGTCGCTGCAGCACGCGGGCTTTGCCCGCTCGTCAGCTGGTGGACGTCTGGGCCGTGCCGTGTTGGGGGCTGATATGAACTTGAACATGCACATGGTGTTCAGCCCTCTCCGGCGTGTCCGAGAGCAGAGCTGGTGGAGCGAGCGGCAGCTGTTGTGTTTAGTCATCCGAGGGGCTGCTAGGTTGTGCTCTACAGCGGCTGCGCCATTTTGCACCCCTCCAGCCCTGTGCGAGGGTCCTGACCTCCCCACCCCCCAGCAACTCCTGTCAGTGCCCGCCCGCCTCTCCCGCTCCCAGTGTCCTAGCGAATGTGGCCCCGTGTCTCACTGAGGGTTTGATTTGCATTTCCCTGCTGACCCGTGACGGTGAGCGTCTTCTCACTTCTCATTTCTGTGAATGAGCCTGTCCGTCCCCAGCATTCCTGCAGGGGGACCAGCTTCCCCCACCTGCCCGGGGGGTCTCCAGGGCATGGCTGGTTGCTCTCAGGGATGGGAGATGAGGAAGTAGCAGCCGTCGAGTCCGGTCACGAGGATGGGCTGGAGTGGGGGTGCAGAGGCCAGCGCTGGCACACCAGGGGCAGGACCACCCAGCCTGAGCAAAAGCCTGGAGGCCCAGCAGAGGCCGGCCCAGAGGCTGCAGGAGGCAGGCAGTGGAGAGGAGACCCGAGGGGTCGCTCAGGTGCTGAGTTCAGGGTTCAGACCTTCTTCACGGAGCTCTGGGTGGGCCGGCAGGGTGCTCTCGCCACTCTGCCTTAGAAACACGGAGGGGCTGTGACGGGGCCCAGGGGAGAGGTGGCGTGGGGGTGGGGGCACCCGGGGGAGGCTGTACGCTTCAGGGAAGGGTCTTGAGGTTGCAAGACCTGGGCTGGGGCCCCATGGGAGTGGGGCAAAGAGGGAGGAAGCAGATTGGCCACTGGTGGTGGTGGAGCCGCCGCCAGGTCCACAAGCCACTGCCTACTCCAGAGCATTTGAAATTTCCCACCCCCTCCCCCCAGAAGAAAAAGAGATGGAGAGATGGATGGTTAATGACTGCAGGTGTTCAAGTCCCGGCTGCTCTACTTCCCACCCAGCTAATGTCCTGGGAAAGCATCAGAAGATGGCCCAAGGACTTGGGCCCCTGCACCCACGTGGGAGACCCAGATGGAGTTCTGGGCTCCTGGCTGTGGCCTGGCCCAGGCCTGGCTGTTGCGGGCATTTGGGGAATGAACCAGCAGATGGAAGCTCTCTCTGTGTCACTCTGCCTTTCAAATAAATAAATAAACAAATTATTATTAAAAAAAATCTTCAACGATAAAGCAAGGTCAAAGCTTCCTTGCAAAAGCAGAGCTGGTTTCTTCCTGTCCCTCCAGAACGTCACTGCCAATCACCGGGCCAATGACGTCATTGCTGCGGAAGACGGCCCCCAGGTCCTGGTGGGGCGGTTCATGTATGGGCCTCTGGACATGGTGGCGCTGACTGGAGAGAAGGTACCAGGGCCGGCCATGCCCTCCTCACCTGGTGCACTTGCAGCAGGTGCCCCTGGCTTCCCCTTAGTACCGCGTGCGTGGTGGGGTGAGGGTTCCAGGGAGAACGAGCAGTAGGGGGTGAGCTTGGAGCATGTGAGGACGCATGAGAAGCCATTGTGGCTGCAGCAGAGAGAGAGGGTGGGGGTGACAGCTCCTCAACCGAGCCCCGCTGCCTCCCTTCCCCGCCGGCAGGTGGACATCCTGGTGATGGCAGAGCCGTCCTCGGGCCGCTGGGTACACTTGGACACGGAGATCACCAACAGCAGTGGCCGCATCACGTACAGCGTGCCGCGGCCCCGACGCCTGGGGGTCGGAGTGTACCCCGTGAAGATGGTGGTCAGGTAAGACCCGGGTGGGGGCGGGGGTGGGTCCTCATGCTGGGTGCTCCAAACAGGCCCGTCCAGCACCCGGGTTCCCCAGCCCCGTCTGCGCGGAGAGAAGACAGAGGAGGTCGCCCACTCTCCCTGGCCCTGAGCCAGTGCGGAGCGCCTATGGAGAGCGGGGGGCGGAGCTCTGACTGCGGGCAGGCGAGGGGCGGAGCTCTGACCGCCGGTGGGGCCTCGCAGGGGCGACCAGAGCTGTGCCATGAGCTACCTCACGGTGCTGCCCCGGGGCATGGAATGCGTGGTGTTCAGCATCGACGGCTCCTTCGCCGCCAGCGTGTCCATCATGGGAAGTGACCCCAAGGTGCGGCCAGGGGCAGTAGACGTAGTCCGGTGAGTGCTGCCTCCCCCGACTCGTGCCTCCACCTTGAGAGTCCAGAGGGGAAATCCAGTCACGGGCGTGAGGGGCTGCAAGCCGGGACTGCAGGTGGAAGAACCCCAGAGTGGACACGGGGCAGGCAGGCTGACCCCACCATGCCCACTGCCCCTCAGGGAACTGGCCCTGGCCAGCCTGCGCCCTTTGGGGCTGGGTGGCTCGTTGCCATGACAACAAGCCCCTCCTGAGTCAGCGCCACGCCCACAGCAGGGAGGGAAGGCTCTGGTCCTTCCTCCCATGGGCTCCTGGGCACCCTGTGGAGCTCTCCGAACCTTGACAGAGTGGGGAGCTGCAGGTTGTACACACTGGTCCCTAGGCCCAGCTGTCCACTAACCAGAGTCGCGGGGGGTGGGGTGCCTGCACCTGTGCTTCATCCAAGACCTCCCCTCATCCCTCGGCTCGTCGTCTAGGTTTAGAAATCCTCAGTCCATGGTAGCCAATTGGTGGCGAGCGCCACAGAGCACCCACACAGGTCCGGCCTCACTGGACAGCTTCTTTTTAAGATTTATTTATTTATTTGAGAGGCAGAGTGACACAGAAGGGGAGAGACAGACAGAGAGAGAGAGATCAATCTTCCCATCCACTGGTTCACTCCCCAAATGTCTGCAACAGTTGGATTGGAGTAAGAGGAGTAAGGGGGATAAGGTTGCGATGTGTGCCGACCACCATGGAAACAGCAGCAGGGGTAGAAATAAAGCCAACCACACAGAGAACACCATGGGCCAGCCCTGTGGGATAGCCCCATTTACAGATGGGAAAACAAATCCTGGGGCAGAGTAAGTAAGGTGCCCAAGGCTGCAGGGGTCTGGGCTGGAGGACTATCCAAGAGATGGGGCCAAGCCTAGGGGAGGATGTGGGGTCGCGCTGGGAGTTTGCTGCAGCAGCTAAGAGGCCACGTGGGATGCCGGCATCACGTACCGAGTGACTGGGTGTGAGTCCCGGCTCGGCTGCGAGTCCAGCTTCCTTGCTAAAGCAGACCGTGGCAGGCGACAGGTGATGGCTCAAGTGCTTGGGTCCCTGGCACCCACGTGGGAGACCCTGACTCAGGTTTGGGCTCCTGGCTTTGGCCTGCCCAGCACTGGCTGTTGCAGGCATTTGGAGAGTCAATCAGCAGAGGGAAAATCTATCAGTCTGTCTTTCAAATACATATAAATAAAAATTTTTTTAAATGGGGCTAAAGTGAGAAACTTGGAGTAGAGAGCCTGTCCTGGTGGAACTGAAAGGGTGTTCTGAGGAGGAGGAGGAGAAGGGGGAAGAGGAGGAGGAGGAGGGGAGGGGGAAGGAAGGGGGAGGGAGAGGGAAAGCAGAGAGAAAGGGGAGGACCCCAAGGCGGGCTGAGTCTGGTTCCAGGCGGTGGCGTCCCTCCTAAGGGACACGAGGTGGCACGTGGGAAGGCTGGGCAGGCGCGGGGCCTGCGGCGCCATCCAGAGGACCGGTCGGGGCGCGGATCTGCGGGCTGCCCCTGCTCTCCCTAGCGCTCCCCAGAGCAGCCTTTCTGGCAGCGGGCCAGGCAGGCGGGCAGCGGGCCGTCTGCGCGGGGCCGGGCCGGACCCTCCACCGCCTGTCGCCCAGGCACTGGCAGGACCTGGGCTACATGATCCTGTACATCACGGGGCGGCCGGACATGCAGAAGCAGCGGGTGGTGTCGTGGCTGTCCCAGCACAACTTCCCACAGGGCATGATCTTCTTCTCGGACGGGCTGGTGCATGACCCGCTGCGGCAGAAGGCGCTCTTCCTGCGCAACCTCATGCAGGAGGTGAGTGTGGCTGCTGGCCACGCCCACGCGGGGCGGGGGCCTCCCTGGGGGCGCTCATTGGCGGGGGGAGGCCGAAGCCCCGCCCCCTCCATGCGGCGCCCCGCCCCCCGCCGACACCTGCTATTGGGGGTCTTGGGAGCTGGTGAACATGGCTCTCAGGCGGTCCTTTAGCGGCGCTGTGAGGTAGGTGTTACTATGTTCATTGCCCTCACCTGAGTCTCGCCATGTGCTTATTCACTCACAGGCGTTTAAGTGCCTGTTGCGCTCTTTATTCTGTGCTTGGCCAGAGGGAAACCGCCCAGGGCCCTGGCTCTCCAGAGGGCTGGCGGAGCTGTGCTCCCCACTGCAGGGCCTGGGCCCAGCGCTGGAATTCCCTAGAAAAGCAAGCTCAGGCCTGAAGCTCTGGGCTCCCGGCAGGGGCTGATAAACTGTAGCTAAATCCAACCCCCTGCCTGGCCTCTTTTTTTTTTTTTTTTTTTTTTTTTTACTCCAAGCTGAGAATGGTGTTTATACTTTTAAGCTGGGGAAAAAAAATCAAGACTATTTCACGACATGTGAAAATTAAAGGAAATTCAAATTGGGCATCCATAAATAAAGTTTTATTGGAACACAGCCAAACTCATTTGCTGATGTATTGTCTGTGGTGGCCCTTGCTCCACAATGCAGTGTTGAGTAGCTGCGACAGTGCAGAGCCTAAAATATTTACTGTCTGGCCCTTCACAGAGAGTGTGTGCCAATCCCCGATCTGGAGGAAGAAAGACAGCTAATCTGACAATTACTGGTGTGTGGTTGACAAAGGGCCTGTTGGCAAACAGAGGAAAGAGTTCAGGTTTGCCTGGGGAGGCCAGGGAAGGCTTTTTCTGGGAGATGGCAGCCCAGAGCTGAGACTTGAAGCCTGAGCGTTGAGTTTGTCAGGGAGCCGCTGGAGCAGCGTGGTCAGAGGCACAGGGGCAGAAAAGATTCTGGGCATCCAGGATGGGGGGCTGTGTGGCCAGGGTCAGACCCAGCGTGCCTGGGAGCCCAGGCCACAGAGGCCCGTGCCTGGCAGGTATCGGAAACCTTGGGAACCAGGCCAACACCAAGAGCCCTCTGCCGAGGGTGATGGGGACGGAGCGCAAGTGGGTGGCCATGTCTAGTTGGGGTTGTGACAGGTCCCTCTGGCGGCTGCGTGGGGAGCAGATCCACAGGTGACAGAAGAGACCAGGAGGCCAGTCAGGAGGCTGTCATCTCAGCAAGACCAGAACCCAGATGGTGACCATGGATAGGCAGGAGAACCGTGGGGTGGAGTTGCCAGGACTCTGTGAGGCCTGGGTGTAGGGAGTGAGGAGCTCTCGTGCTTCCTGTTTGCGCTGGGTGAGCAGGAGGGTGGAGGAGCCACTCACCTGACTGTGGTCTCCATGGAGACAGGCCGTGTCCCTGCTGCCCGGCTGTGATGGCACCCAGGAGGCCCTCAGTAAATGGTGGCAGGATGAGTAAAACATGCACAAGTAAAGGGGGGGGAACAGGAGGAAGAGTGGGCTGAGGAAGATGAGGTAGCCGCATCCGCCCCGGCACAGGGCTCCTGGTGAGGTCTGGGCTGCAGGCGGAGCCTGGGAGCCACGGCGGCTGATCGGTGAAGGCAGGGGAGGGGCGGCATCTCCCGGGCAAAGGGAGGAGTGAGGAGCTGCATGCAGGACAGGAGGAGGCATGGTAGGGCAGGAGGGGAGAGCGCTTCAGTGGGCTTGTGTCCCTGGGTGCTGTCCACTGGATGCCGCCTGGCTGCTGGGCAGCCTTGAGGATGGATGGACATCTCGGGGGCTGGGGGGCAGAAGACGGAGGCTGAGAGGGGGACAGGGTGGCAGCTGCAGGGTTGAAGCTACAGAGGGAGCTCAGAAGAGCGCAGAAGGGAGGGGACAGAGGAGCCATCCCCTCCTCCGGACTGAAGGCCTGGTGGCCATGAACTCACAGGGAGCTGAGGGGCAGTAGGGGCCAGAAGCCCTCTCTCTGCTTTGTACGTCTGCGGGACTGGGGAGGGGCCACAAGCAATGTGCAGGGTGAGAGCTGTGAGCTTCTTTGAGCTCCTCTAGCAGCTCTGGGGAGCCGCTGCACAGACATGGAGAAGGAGGATGGCGGAAAATCCCAGGGCTGAGGTTCTGCCGGGTGGGTGTGGCGAGGAGGCTGGGCGGATGAGGGAGGCCAGAGAACCAAGGCGGAGGCCACAGGAGGCCTTGGGGTGCCCACATGGGATGAGGAAGGGGCCCAGCGGGACGGCAGATGTTGACAGGGCTGAGACGGCTGGGAGAGGAGGCCGTGAGAACCACGGAGAGGCTGAGCAGCAGTGGCCACGGTGGGAACACCGAGGTCCAGGGCTCACAGCGGTGTGGACCTGGGTTCAGCCTACGCCATTAGGGACAGTGGGAAGCCAAGAGACTGAGGTGGCAGGCGGGTGGTTGTCTAGTGGACAGTAAGTCAGCCCAGTAATGGTGGGGCTCGGGAGAGGAGAGCTGTGACCCAGGGCCCAAGTCTCCCATGAAGTTTAGAGAAAAGAAGATTTTGATGGGGAGGCACCAAGCAAGGGGCGCCTGGATGGTGCTTCCCTCAAAGGAGTCGGTGGTCCTCACCCCGGGGGAGGGTCTGGGAGAGCCCCCTGGAGCAAGAAGGGTCTTGGGCAGTTCTCTGAAACTGATGGGACTTCTGGCAAAGACATCAGACCAGCCAGAAGGAGGCAGCAGGTGCCTGGTGATGTTGGTGACGCAGGGCAGGGCCACCAGTCCTGGCCCTCTGAACAGAAACCTGGGACCTGATCTCCTTCCCCTGAAAGCAGTGCTGTGCCTCCTTGCTCCCTAACCTGCACGGAGTGATGTGACGGTGCAGGTGTGGCAGAACTGTGGCTGCTCGCCAGGCAGAGCCCTGCATCAGGCCTGGGGCAGGTGGGTGGGTGGGGGCTTGGATCTTAAAGAGAACCGGGGTCCCCGTGTAGGGGCTCCCTGGGCTGGTCTGGGAAGCCTTCCCAGGGAGACTGATGGACCTCGCTCTGCCTCCATGAGCTGCCTTGTGTTTCAGTGCTTCATCAAGATCAGTGCTGCCTATGGCTCCACAAAGGACATCTCCGTCTACAGCGTGCTGGGCCTGCCTGCCTCCCAGATCTTCATTGTGGGCCGGCCTACCAAGAAGTACCAGACCCAGTGCCAGGTGGGTGGAGCCCCAGAGGGGGGACCCCCGAGAGGAGCAGCTACCCCAGGCTGCAGGGTGCGGCTGGTTCTGGCAGTTTGAAGGGATTGTCCCAGAAGGGCCTGAGGTCGGGAGCAGCAGTTTTGGCAGAGGCAGAAGCAAAAGCCAAGGTCAAGAGGCAAAGAACGTGTGTTTGCTGGGAACTGCCAGTGGCCCAGCCTGGCTGTGTGTGATGTGAGCAGGCAGGGAGAGAGAGGGCAGGAGCAGCAGGTGCATCTCAGGTGACCTGAGCGCCTCACTCAGTGTGGACCCTGCTGCCTAAGTCACTGGGGTGAGTGGTGGGGAGTGGCTTGAGCAGGCTGCAGGCAGAATGGGGAGGGGTTGGATCCAAGCAGGGGAGAGGCGCAGGGAGGAAGTTGCAGGGAGGAGAGGGTGGAGAGCCCGGGACGGTGCCCCAGTGTTGGTCTTGGGTGACCAATCAGAAGGTGCTACCTTGGGATTGAGGAGCAGGCTGGAGGAGGAGCAGGTGGAAGGGAGGAGGTGATCTCTCTCTGGGGCATTCCAAGGGTGAGGTGCCCGAGGGTGACTGGCAGGATGATGGTGGGACCTCAGGGTGGGGCACTCCAGAGCTTTGCACCCCCGCCACCTGCAGATTCAGATTCAGCGGCTCTGGGGTGGGGCCTCGAGTCTGCCCAGCGAGGGTCCAGGTGGCGCAGACGCTGCTGCTCCATGGACCACACTTTGAGTAGCAAGGTCCTAAGGACACCATGGGGAGGGCTGGCAGGAAGGGCAGCTTTGAGATGGAAGCAGTACACAGAGCTGGGCAGGGGGAGGGGCTTAGACGTTGGGATTTTAATGAGAGTGACAAGGGTGGGCACCCCCAGCAAGGGTCCAGAGACCTCAGATGTGAGTCCCGGGTTCAAGCAGGGCGCTCAGTCTCTAAGACTGGATGGGGGACGTGGACGAGTCATAAGTTCCCGGCTAATCCCTCCCATCCGGGTTCCACGGAGAAGCTGCTAACACCCGTTGGTGGGAAATGGCGATGTTGGAGGGGCGGGGTGCCTGACGCCTGTCCCCTCCGCAGTTCCTGAGCGAGGGCTATGCCGCGCACCTGGCGGCACTGGAGGCCGGACACCGCTCGCGCGCCAAGAAGAGCAGCACGCGGATGGTGCTGCGGAAGGGCAGCTTCGGCCTGCACGCGCAGCCCGAGTTCCTGCGGAAGCGCACGCACCTGCGCCGGACCATGTCCGTGCAGCAGCCCGACCCGCCCGCCGTCAACCCCAAGCCCGAGCGGGCCCAGAGCCAGCCCGAGTCCGACAAGGACCACGAGCGGCCGCTGCCCGCGCTCAGCTGGGCGCGTGGGCCCCCCAAGTTTGAGTCGGTGCCCTGAGGGGGCGGGCTGTGTTCCGAGCCAGGGGCCCACGCGGGCTGCCTGCGGCGGTGGGAGGGGCCGCCTTCTCCCCAGCACAGGCGCTTTCCTGCTTTCCCCTCCCGTGTCTGTCCAGCAGTGTCCGACTAGAGCCGGGAGGGACCCCGCCCGGCCTGGGGGAGGGGGGGCCTCCCTGGGCTGCATCAGATGAGAGATGAGAGCCCACGGGGTCTCAGAGCGGCTGCTGCTGCCTCCACCCCGGTGCCTGTGACCGCAAGCCCAAGGCAGGGTTGGATGTGCGCGTCACCGTGGAGGCAGGCTTGCCCCGGGCTGTAGAGCATGTGGGCCAAGCTGATCATCTTTCTGAGTGCTTGGGGCCCTCAGCCCTGAGGACCAGCACCTGCTGGCCAGTGTAGCTTCTCGGCCGCCCTGTGGAGGGGTGAGTGGGCCTGCTGGGCCGCCACCCACTGTGGTCTCCTGTGTTCCAGCTTGGGGGCTGGCTTGCTTATGGCCAAGTGGCCACTTTGTGAGAGTGAGGGGACATCCCATGGGTTCATCCTCATGTGTGTGATGTGTGTCCACAGCCCTCAGGGGCGGGGCCTGGTGCTGCCGTCTGGCCTGCAGCTGGCCCTTGTGCCCCTGTCTTGTCCTCGGTGTTGCACCATTGTTCCTCGAGGAGGGGTCTCCCCAGGGCTCTGCCTTGTGCCCCGGCATGGGGCAGCAGCCTCGGCTGTGGCCCAGCCAAGACGGTTGTGTGCCCTGGAGCCCGCTGCCTAGCTGCCCCATCCTGGAAGGGTCCCTGCAGCTGAGAGGCGGAGTTTTGACCCATAGGCCTGTGCGTGAGGATTTGTAGGCCTGGGGGCCCCTCCAAGCACCATGACCACCGCATACCTTCCACACAGCCTGGGATGGGGGCTGTTACTGGGACGGGTAGAGAAGGGGTCCCTACTCCATGGACAGCCACCATAGGTTTGCCTTGCACTGATGTTCAAACTGGGCATCCCAAGAGCTGAAATACCACAGCCCCCTGCCCAAGGGCACTGATTGGGCTCTGCCACCTCTGGCTCTGTTCAGACTCATTGCCGTCTTTCGGCTCCTGGAAGGCTTAGAGCCGAGTCCCCAGGGTTCTGGGAATTTGGGCTCAAACTGTTGTATTCTCTCCCCTTGCCCCTGCCATGCAGTGTTTGGCTTGTGCCCGCAACCTCCTCTTGGCTCATCCCGAGGTGGGCAGGGCTTGTCTCTCCTGGGACCCCTCAGAGGCTGCCCAGGCTCCCCTGCTGCCCACTGCCTCTGCCCCCGCTCTGTGGCCCACCTGCCACATGGGGGTGCCCGAGGTTGCCTCTGATGCCGCCGTAGGGCCCAGGCATCTGTGTGCACAGCAGGCACTTGTCAGCTCAGTGTCGCTTCTGCTCAATGTCTACCTCTTGCAGCTCCCATGCAGCCCCTGGCGGCTGCTGGTGGGGGCAGCTGGCACCAACTGGCAACCTGGGTGCCCTGCTGGGGCTGGAGGGTCTGGGCTCCTAGTCTCTCCCCTGGCCTCCAGCTCTCTCCACTCAAAATGTGTCTTCTCTAGCCTGCCGGCCGCTGCCACATTCACCTGATCTGTCTGCCGGCTCCTCTGCACCACTTTGAGCGCTGGGTCCTGCATCCATGGAAGCTGGCACTGCTGCTGGCCGGGCTGCTGGGGTGTGGTGTGAGTGGGCCTCAGCTTCCTCCCTGGCCCTGCCTCCTGGAGGTTCGCCCCGCCCATCCGCCTTTAACATGGCATTGTTCTTGGCTCGCCATAGGCACCAGCTCATCCGGCTCAGCCACTTCAACCCTAACACTTCCGGCCCCTTCCCCAAAAGACCATGACTTAAATTGGGGCAGACTTAGTCTGATCCGCTGACACCCAGCATCTCCTATTCGCAGAAGACACTCATGTAATTGCTGACAAATGACAAAATAGTGTGAGGTCCTGTGCTACCACTTAGGCTTCCTTTTCGAAGACCCCAGGCTAGGAGAGAAGGGGGGAGAGAGAGAGAGAGAATGTGGCGCACTCCCGGGCTGGGAATCCCAGGGAATTTGGAGTCATTGTGACTCAGGGGGGGTCACAGCTGAGACACAGGACCTGCCAGCAGAGCCACTGCCCCTTCCTGTTTGGAGCCCAGGACTGGGGCTCTGACCGGTGCGGTGAGACGCGTCTGGCTTGCATGCGTGAATGTGTGCCTGTGTGGTTCTGCTTCGCCAGGGGAACATGTTTGAGCGTGGCTTCCCTGGCGACTGTGTACCCCACACGCACTTTCTGTACTAATGCTTTGTCCCCTCCCGTCTGTCTGGTTAAACTGGAAAAAGCCCGCAGAACTGCACTTGCGGCTCTCGGGAATGGCCTCCCCACGCGTAGCTCTGTGGCCAGAGCAGACCGGCTGTTTCCTAGAGAACCCTTCCAGCCCCTGGCGCACCTGCTCACAGCAGCTGGGGGACAGCTCTTCCTGCCTGACCAAAGCTCCTCGTTTTTCACGTGGCATGTTTGTTCTTCCCCACGCTGGGGCTGTCCTGGCCAAGGACGCCCCTGCCACCTTCTTCTGTCATTGTCCTGTTGGGGTTCAGGGTGCATTCCTGGCCAGGGCCTGCTCTTCCAGCATCATGGATTTTTTTCCCCTAAAGATCGCGACTCCTCTGTTAGGCTCCGCAAAATATTAAAAAAAAGAAAAAGGTAGATTCCTTTCCTGCATTTGGGTCGACAGCCCTCTGTCTTGGTGCCTGGCTACAGTGAGGGCATTCGAAGCCCAGAGATTTCTAGTGGAGAAGGGGAAGACAGGGGGCATGGGGGCTCTTAGAAATGAGGGGAGGACCAGATCTCATGTGCTGTTTTTTTTTTTTTTTTTTTTAAACTGCATTTTTACCACTCTGGAGCCTGTGCCAGTGTCCTACAGACAAAACACGGCACCAGTCTTCCCGCAGCAGCGGCACCCCGCCAAGGCAGGTGGACCCGGGGCCAGAGCTGGTTCGGGTTTTGCATCCCTACCATCTCGCCCAGCGCAGGTGCAGCCCCGCCCAGGAGGGGCTCCCTGCCGATGAAGGAGCATCACAGTCCACCTGGCCTTAAACAACCAATTTCTCACCGAATCCCAGGGGGGTGGGGGGCCAAGTGCCCTGGAAACCTAGAATCTTTGGCTCAGCCAAAAACAAACCTCCTCCCCTCCCCTTCCTTTCTGGGCTTGGTGGGGGGAGGGGACTTTCTTACACATCCCAGCTAGGATCAAGTCCAAGCAGAGAGGCCTGGTGGGCTCTGCTGTCCTTGCTGAGACAGCGGGGAGGGGGCGAGGGAAGTCGGCCAGGCCCTCCAGGACGCACTGCGGAGGGAGAGACGGGAGGAGGGCTGCTCGCGCGCGGGGACCCCCACCCTCGACCCCGCTGTCCTAATTGTTTACTCTGTGGTGGCAGCCAGTCCGACCTTGTCCGTGGCCTGACCATTCCCAAGTGTGTGACGTTCAGTACTCTCTGTGCCGGACGGTTCCGTGGTGAGAAAAGGTTTGTTAGATTCCTTGCGGCTGCCTGTACACAATCCGTTAGAACAGAAAATGTAAAACACCAGATTTCTAACATGACAAAAAACAGCATTATGGAGTTAAAAGATTTTTACAACGGGTCTCGATTTTGATGTGAGCTGGTTTTTAACAAATCTCAAACGTTGTCGATTAAATAAAAACCTTATTTGCCTTTAAAACGTACTCTGCTCTGAGCTCAGTTGAGGCGCCAGGCCCTGTACGTGTGTCCCTTAGCTGGGGGCGGGGCAGGCCAGCTTGGAGGGGGAGGGCTGGGAGGCACCAAGCGGTGGGGGTCACGGGCACGGAGTCTGATGCACAATGAGTCTTTATTAGGAGCAGGCGCTGTCGTCTGGGAAAGTCGTACACGGATTCCTTTCTAATAAAATGACAAAGCAGATTTCTTAAATAACTTACAGAGGGCCACCCTCCCTGCACACCCACAGTGCCCTATGCTGAACGTATCAGTAGGTGGCCGGGAGCCCAGGGTCCTAGCGCCCGGAGACATCTCCTGTCCCTTCCTCCAGGGCCCTGGTGCGGGGAGCAGGAATGGAAGCTGGGACAACCCCCCAGGGACCCTGCTTCTGGGTGCAGGGCCCAGGCCCTGCCGCACCCCCAGTGCCTGCGCGTCACACTGGAGGAAGCAGCCCCAGGGCTCGAGGAGGGGATGAATTTCTAAGCCCGAGAGTCCCCTGGGGGAGCAGAGCAGAAGAAACAATTTCTTCCATGTCTGCAAGGCCCCAAGTCGCCGCTGGCTGTGGCAGGCAACAGGCCTAGAGGTGGCCAGTGCAGGGGAGCTCCGGGGCCCTCTGTTCGTCAGGTGCTCGTTAGCAGCAGGCTGGAGGGTTGGGGCCTCCTGGGGGCTTCCTCCAGGGCCTCACGGGGTGGCCCAGACGTCCTGGGTGTGGTGCCACACGGGGCTTGTTCCCTGCAAGACAGAGCTCCCTTGGTGCCCTTGCTGTGTTCAGGGCAGGGCAAGTGGGGCACACGATGGCTGTCCCCCGGTGTGGGGGCCCCTGTATGCTGGGTTAGCAGTTCTGGCCCCGAGCAGCCAGGGGGACTGGTACAGTCCCTGCTCTCCTGTGCCCATCCACTCTGAGGTTTTCCAAAAAAGACTCGTTTCTTCAAGTATGCATGCATGCTCACGCGTGGAGGTGGGGGAGAAAGATGCTAGAAAGATGTGTGGGCAGAGGGCCTTACCTGCAGGGCACCGTCCTTAGTTGCGGAGGAGAGAGACGGTCATGTCGCCACTGGGGATGGGAAGGGGAGGGATTGACGCTGCTGGGGGCTGCAGGTTTGAGGGCCCCGCCAGCCTGGAAACGTGGGGGTTCCACGGCCACTCTGGGCCATCATTCCAATGGGGAAATGGCCCCAAGTTGGTCCTGAATGCACAGCCCGGGAAGCCGCAGGCAGCCATGGCCCTCTGCCCAGCACCGCAGACAGGCAGGGCGTAGAGCCCCAGAGAGCACTGGTGGAGGAGCAGGTCTTCCAGGAACCCAGTTCCTGGCCGCACGTGAGGCCCGGCTGATTGAAGCGTGGGCTGCCAAGGCCCAGGGAACCCTCCCCCACCGCCACACCTCCCCTCCCAAGGCTCTGTCCCTTCTCACGGCTGCGGTCAGGAGGGGCAGGGGCTGGCCAGAGCCACCCAGCAGGTCCGAGCCACAGCCAGATGCCAGCCTGCAAAGACGGAGTGGCTCAGGGGCTGCCCACTCACCTGTCTTCAGCCACTATGGCTTTATCCAGCTTCTGGGACAACTTCTGAAGGAGCTGAATTCCTGCCCCTGCAGGCTCAAGGTCACTGTCAGACTCACTGCACAAGAGCAAAGCCACACGGGTGGCAGTTGGAAACCTGTGACGGGAGCTTCCCCCCAGGCCCTGGTGAGCTGGGAATGCCTCACCCCGGGTCCCTACTCTAAGCAAAGGATGTTAGGGTGACTTGAGCATCTGGCAGAGATCAAGGCCCATGAGGGCCCAAAGTCACAGGCAGATGATTTTGTAGACAAGTGAGCCCTGCTACTCTGCAGCTGGAAACTGAGCTGAGCCTCTGCCCGTTACAGACCAGGAAGCTAAGGCCCTGTGGGATTTCTCCCAGGTCCTCCCGTAGCTCTGAGGGCAGCGCTGGGCCTGGGCACAGGTGTGGCTCAGGGAACCGCAGGATGGGGCCTGGTTAGTGTTTGGGGGGCCTGAGCTCTGGGGAGATGCGCAGCCCCACTTGCCTGGGAGAGCAGAGGGGCTCTGTGGAGGAGTAGGGGCTCCTCTGGAAGGCAGCATCCCTCCTTGGCCGCCGCAGCAGGTGGGCACGGGGGCCTGTCTGGGCCGAGAGGCGGCGATACCCCCGCTCCCGGGAGCCCAGCGCTGGGTGGGTGGTGCTCGACAGCCGGGTGCTCTTCTGGCTCAGGGTGTGCGGGGGGGAGCCATCACCCGTCTGCGCCCCTCTCCTCCTCCTCCTGGCTTTCACCTGCGTCTCCACCAGCCACTTGGTGCCACTCTGGCAGGACTCCTGGATCCTCTGTGACAGTTACAAGGCAAGGTGAGCATGCGTGAAACCCAGGTGCGTCACCTGCCACTCCCGGCCTCCCCTCCAAGCCTTGGCCCCCCACTTGTCCCGTACTTGCAGGCTGCTTTCAGTCTCGAGCCTGAGGGATGGGAAATGGAGCTCCCCCACCCAAGACACACCCCCAGGGGTCGATCACGGGAGGATTGCCCTGGCTCATAGAACTCCAGTTGTCTAAGCCCACATCCTCTTGAGGAAACCTGTCTCCCTGCCTTTGCTCTCGCTTGTCCACTCTCATCTGTCCTCCATGCTGGCCCAAAGGGCAGCTCTGCCCGGGACGCTTGGCCCCTCGAAACCCTCCTGTGGCTCCTTATTGCTCGGAGGAACAAGCCCGAACTCTCAGGCCTATCACGGCAGTGGGTGATGGCTGTGAAGACCTTGAATGCTGTGGCATGCCAGAGGCGGGAGGGCTGGTGCATGCCCCAAGCTAAATTCCATGTCATGTGGCCTTGGATAAGATACCTCCCTCTACCTCTCCTGTGCCCGGGGCGGTGGGAACAATTTCAGGGTTCTTACTAATGGGCTGGGCCCAGAGAGCTGTCTGTGGAGGGCTTGAAGGAGCAGCCCTCTCCCCACACCTTCAGAGCGCCCAGTGGGGCATCCAGCCCTCTCTTCCTACAGCTGGCTGCTACCATGGCTCTGTCCTTTCTTCTGTTGTAATTGGAGAGGCAAAAAGAGACAGATGGAGCCCTACCTGCTGGTTCACTCCCCAGATGCCCTTAATGGCCAGGGGCCAAAGTCAGGAGCCAGGAATTCCATCCCAGTCTCCCATGTGGGCGGCAGGGACTCAACCATCTGAGGTCTCACCGGCTGCCTCCCTGGGTCTGCCTTAGTGGGATGCTGCAATCGGGAGTCAGGACTTGAACCTGGGCCCTTGGATACGGGATGCAGCCTAATCACGGGGCCAAATGGCTGCCCTGGCTCCTTCCCTCCTCGGGACATCTCGGAATGCTCCCAGCTCCAGGCGGAAGGCCCTTGGGCACCTCACACCAGTGTACGTCATGACGTGGTGCCAGCCCGTCTCATCTGACACCGGGTTCTTGGGGGTCTACCTTCCGAGGAGCTCCTGAAGTTAGCGGCTCTCCCTTGGGCGAGTCCAGCACCCAGGATCCCAGGCTCCCGCGGGTGTGTCTGCCCCACCACCCTTTTCATCAGGCAGCTCAAGAGAAAGTTCCCGACACTAAGCTGAGCAGACGTCCCGTCCGTCTGGAATCCTTCCCTCTTCTGGTTGCTCCTGGGGGTCCACACACATCAGAGCCCCCCCTTCCTCTGGCCACACCCAGACACAATCCTTGCCCACACCCCCGTCCCTGGGTCTCGGTGGGATTCACACCATTCCAGCTGTGCTTGCCTTTTCCCATTGATTCTCCATGGAGCCACCTCCTGGGGGGGCTGGGGGGGCTTCACTGGCCGTCCCCTCACCATCCCTACTGGCTGTCACATGGCTCTCACCCCTTGTATCATGAGCACCTGTTCCCTCCGTTTCTCCGCACCGTTCAGCTATTTGTTGAATGCCCACTCTATGCTAGCAATTCTTAGAGGTGCAAAGTCCCTGTCAGGTGGCGTCTAGACTCTCCCGGGGCTCCCGGAGGTGGGCTCTATCCAGCACTGAGGGTCCATGGAGCTGGACAGCACAGCCACTGTTACCTGAGACATGGCCCCCAGGGCGCTCTTGGCTGATCGAGCTGCCGCCTGGAGGCCTTGCTGCTCTGGTTCCGGAGTTCCCAGGCGTTTCCATGAAGGGCCCGCCCCAAGGTTGAGGCTGACCGCTCTCAGGGGCAGCCTCCTTTGGAACTGTCTGCGTAGGGAGCCCAGGGCCCCCGCGGACGCATCCTGCTGGCCGGCTGCGGCCGGCGTGGTGGCTTCCTCCTCCGGCTGCTCCTCCTCCAGCAGCGATCTCCGGCGCACCGACCACCGACAGGCCATCTGCTGGCTGTGCCGCCTCTGTTCACCGCGCCCTGGGGAGGAGGGCCGAGGGCAGGTCAGCGGGCATCGCTGGCCCCCTTCCAGGCTCCGCAGGGCTCCTAGGCCCGGGGAGGGAGACAGGATGGAGGCCTGTGGGGTGGGGCCCTCGTAGCTGTGGGTGCTGGAAAGGGGGGTGTTTCCCGCAAGGGGAAGTCCGCGGACTCCCGCCGCCTGGGCCTGGATTCTCTCCATGGGCTGTCCTTTCGGCCCCGGCGTCCCTGGGCCCGAGGCCTCGAGCCGAAGACAGGCAGGGGCTCTACGGGTCTCAAAACGCGGCCCTGACCCGGCGCGCTCCCACCTACACCGCGGCCGCCCCCCGGACAGCCCGATTTCCCTTGGATGCTCCCCACGTCCGTGTCCGGCCTGGGCAGACCCCTCCCCCACCCCGAACAGCAGCCCCCCCGGGGGCCCGACCTGCGATCACCCCAGGCGCCGAGCCGATCCGAGCACAGCGGGTCTCTCGCCCACCGCTGCGGATTTCAAACTCCGCGCGGCCCCGCCCCGGGCCTGTCCTCAGAGATGATTGGCTCCGAGATACTGCCTTGGCCACGGCTCCGGGCCTCCGATTGGTCGCCTTCCCTCACGGCTGCAAATCCTGCTCCCGTTCATCGCTCGAGACCCCCGCCTGGCTCGGCCTCCGCCGCCCCGCCTGCCCACGCCTTTGCCGGGTCCGCAGCCCCATCCCGTGTGCTCGGCCCCAGGCAGCGGCGCGCGGTCCATGCCTCACGCCCGAGCCCCCTTCCTAGAGCCTGTAAGGGGCTCAGGCGTTTGCGACCCCTGGGGTCCCGGGCACTGGGAGGGCACTCAGCCTGCAGCATCCCTGGTCTTCCAGGGACCCTGCCCCTCCTGCCAGGGGGTGTGGCCTGTTCTTTCTCGCTCAGCGATTTTGTTCTAAAGAGCTGGGGAATGCGGGTGCAGACCCCTCCCTCCTGAGACAGGCTCCACACTCCCCATCAAACAACCTGGGAGCGGGGACAGACGGGAGCACACCTGCCCCTCTGCCCTGCCTACCTGTCCTCCTGCCCCTGCCCTCCTGCCGCCCCCCCCCATTGCCTTCCTGCTCATGCCCCCTGCCCCGGCCTCGCCATCCTAAGTCGGGAGACCCCGACCCCTCCCCTCGCATCCACACAAGCTCAGACTCCCGCCATCTGTAAAGCTCTCCCCATTACCAGCCCGTCCCTAGGAGACCTCAAAGCATCACTGCCCGCCGCTGGCTCCCTGTGGGTGCTGCAGATTGCCCCCCCCCCCCCCCCTCCTCCAAGCACTGTCTTCAGGCCTCTGCCTCATTTCCGGTGGTCTCAGCAGCGACCACCGCCCGCGGTGAGCACAGTGCCTAACTCGCCTGCAGCACAGAAGCCTCGGGCCCTCACCTGGCCTCCCTGCAGAGGGAGGAGGAAACTGAGGCACAGAGAGGTGGGGGAGGGGCCCATGTTTCACTCCCTGAGCCGAACGCCATCCCTCTGGAGCCGGGTCCCTGTGCCTGACCCTCACGCTGCGCTGTCCCCCCCCCCCCCCAGCCTGGGCCTCTCACCCAACACTCAGGCCCCACCCTCCTGGTGCCCCAGGCCGGGAAGGCCAGCACTCCCTAGCTGAGTCGCCTGCTCTCTCCCACGATCCTCCTCCTCCCCACCCCATGTTCTTTCTCCCATGTATTCCCCAGGTCCTACTGAGGTGTGCACGGGTAGCTCAGGCACCATGCTGAACAAGGGCTGCAGAGGTCAACACAAGGGGCGTGCCCCTTACCCTGATGGCGCTCCATCTGCTGGGTGGGCAGAGACCCACAACCAGCCCATCCAAGAACCACACAGAAATTAGCTGGGACCTAGAGAATGAACTAACCAGGAAAAGGGTGTGGTGTGTGTGTGTGTGGCGGGGGTGCTGGGTTTGGAACAGGGGCCAGTCCTCCTTGTCAGAAACCCAGCACACGTGTGTGCCTAAACAAGGGTCAGGGAGCAACGTTTGACAGTGAGTGATGCCCTCGGAGACTGATCTCGGTCCTGCTAATAAGAACAGGTGGCTGCAACTCACTGTGGTTGCTTTATGATGGACATGGGCTCATCTTCCAGGGGTCGGAAATGCTTGTTCCCAACTCTGTGTGCATCTGATTATTTGGGATTGAAATCTGGGGGAATTGAATGCATGTCCTTTGAAACTAAATTACTGGGGGGTGGGGCGGTGGTGGAGAGGAAGCCCTGTTGCTTCTATGGAAACTAAGTTGCTGTTGTGGGAGACTCCAGGAAGAGCAAAGGGGTGGAGGCAGAACCTCTGAGCCTTGTTGTCCGGCCCCAGGTGTCTCTGGGTGCTGGCGTGTCACCGGCATCCTGTCCGTCACCTCTGCTGTTTTTGAAGCCCCAGCCACGCGGCAGAGACTGCTGAGTGCGCTGATGTCTTTATTCCTCCTGGCGACTCTAGAAAGCAGGTGCTATTTTAATTCCTAGTAGGGAGGACAAAGCCCAGATGGAGGGAGACGGGTGAAGTCTCTTGCCCAAGATTGTGCGGAATTGAGTCAGAGCTGGAGTTTCCATCGCGGCTGCCTGAGAGGTTAAGGTGGAGTGTGCAGCCTCGTCCTGCGGGGAATGGATGCCTGCTTGCACGTGGGAGGAAGCCCTCCCAGCCCCCAGCTTCAGCTTCACACCTGCCTGCCCCGCTCAGAATGCTAACCGGCAGGCCGGGTTAGTGAAGCGCAGTCTCCATGGTAACGAGAAGAGGCAGAAGCATGTCTTCTGAATGGGGTGTTGGCTTGAGGGTGGGACAGAGGCTGTAGTTAGGCAGGCAGGTGCGCGGCGGGTCGGGGGAGGCCCCCACTCCTTGTAAGGAGGGAATGCAAGTCCGTCGTCCCAAGGTCCCAAGCGCAGGCTTTCCTGGGTGGGGGGGTAGTGTTCTGGCCCCACCCCTGCCTCTGCTGGGGAGGGGGCTGAAGGAGGGGCTCCAGTCCTGCCCTGCTCTAGGGCCCTTGGTCCAACAGCCAAGCTCCCTCCGGTGTCCTTGACCCTCTGGGCCTGCCGCTGTGATGGTGGACAGACCTTCAGCACGGTATAACACACATGGATGGTTGTGAAGAGGCAGGGGGCGGTGGCGGGGTGTAGGGGGATGGGGCACCTCACTGGAGCTGGGGGCCCTGACTCCCAGCTGAGGAGTGAGGGGGCGGTGTGGGCAGGAGAAAAGAGCACTTCAAGCTCCCCCTTGGAGAAAGGCTGCGCGGACCCCACGGGGCAGGGGCAGGGGCAGGGGCAGGGGCAGGGCGGGGGCGAGGAGGGAGGCTGAACCTGAAGAAAAGAGCGCATCATCAGAGCTGTGTTGTCATCAAGTCCATGGAGAAAGTGGGAGATACAGAGAGAGCGGGCTTCCATCTGCTGCTTCACGCCCCAAACAGCTGCAATGGTGTGGGGTGGGCCAGGCTGAATACAGGAGCCAGGAGCTTCTTCTGGGTCTCCTATGTGGGTGCAGGGGCCGAAGCACTTGGCCCATCCTCCACTGCTTTCCCAGGTGCATTGGCAGGCAGCTGGATCAGAAGCGGAGCAGCTGGGACTCGAACTGGCACCCACAGAGGATGCTGGCACTGCAGGTGGAGGCTTTAACTTTCTATACCACAGCTCCGGCCCCAGCTCGGTTCTGATCCAGCTTCCTGCTCATGCACACCCTGGAAGGCAACAGGTACTTCATTCCCTGCCACCCACATAGGAGACCCAGACTGAATTGTGGGCTCCTGGCTTCAGCCTCGCCCTGACTTTAGAGAGTGAACCAGCAGATGGGAGATAGCTCTGTCTCTGCCTTTCAAATAAATAAATTAAATTTCTTTTAAAAACCAAACCCCCTGGAGCTCTCCCTCGGGTCAAAGGTGAACATTGCCAGGGCCCCTCTGCGTGCTCCCCCCACCCCACCCAGGCTTTTATGCCAATCATCTTTATTCCCCCTTTGAAGTTGGCTAAGGTGTGAAAGTGGCTCCCAGAAGTTCAGGTGTGGGAAGTTGTTGTTGTTGTTGTTTTGACAGGCAGAGTGGACAGTGAGAGAGACAGAAAGGTCTTCCTTTACCATTGGTTCACCACTCAATGGCCGCTACAGCCGGTGCACCATGCTGATCCAAAGCCAGGAGCCAGGTGCTTCTCCTGGCCTCCCATGCAGGTGCAGGGCCCAAGCACTTGGGCCATCCTCCACTGCACTCCCGGGCCACAGCAGAGAGCTGGACTAGAAGAGGAGCCACCAGGACAGAATCTGGCGCCTCGACCGAGACTAGAACCAGGGGTGCCAGCGCCACAGGCAGAGGATTAGCCTAGTGAGCCACGGCCCAGTTGTGGGAAGTTGAATCCCCAAAGTCCTCTTGCTCACCTCACAGGTGCGTCTGGCTCTGGGAGTGATGGGCTCGGGAGCTCTCTGCATCTGCAGGTCCCCGCCAGCAGGGAGACCCCCACCCCGCTTTGACCCTCCCCTCCCCCCAGCCCTGAGCTCCGTCAACCTCTGCCTTCCATGAGCCAGGCTGTGGGACTCCCTCACAGCAACACCAGTGGAGGGAGGGGGAGCTTTTTAAGTCTCCATTCCAGGCCCTCTGCTGCAGACCCCACGGGGTGGGTGTGGGGCTGCAGAAGGCTTGGAAGGATGCATAGCTCTTACCCTGGCCCCACGCCCACAGACAGGGTCGCCATGGGACCCTGGGCTCTGAGCAATCAGGGAGGGACTTGGGAGCTGGGGCCCGGGTCCCAGCACTGCCCAGGTGGCCCAGTGTTCCAGGCCCCACCCCCTGCTCTGGCTCTCAGCCTTCCAGAGGGTGCCAGGAGGGCTCAGTCTGCTTGGGAAAATGGAACCAGAGAGGGTGAGAGGCGCCCAAGGCCACGGGCCAGGCAAGACCAGCCTCATGAGAGCCGGTGGGGGGTTCGCACCTGTCCCCGGGGCAGGGTCCCGCGCCTCTTGCTCCCGCAGGTCAGCCTCATCCCATGACAGAACGCATGTGTGGTGGGTACAGTCTCCACAGGGCTCTGGGGAGCGCAGACGCCAGAACCCGAACAGGCCACCAGGTGGCGCCCACCACCAGGTGTCCATGCCACTTTTCTGCTTTTAGACCCAAGAGAGAGAGGGTGGGGCGGGGTCTTTAGATGGGCTCTGCTCCTGCCTGGGTGCTGGGCGCAGGGTAAAGTCCTCCAAGAGGGAACGGGTGGTACCTCTGCCCCCGGGCTGACCTGGCAGGGGAGCCGGGAATGGGATGGGAGAGGGCACTCCGGCTTCCCCCAAACCTGCCCCCGGCTGGCGGCAGCCTCCTGTGGGTGCCTCTTGATGAGGGGAGAAGGGGGGAACAGGACACCCTGGGGTCTGGGACCAGGGTCGGCACCCGAGGGACCAGGCAAGACAAAGAGGGCGTGCGGAGGGCACACAGAGTCCCGGCTGCTCCTCTTCCCATCCAGCTCCCTGCTAATGCACCTGGGAAAGCAGCAGCAGATGGCTCAAGTCCTTGGGCCCCTGCACCCACTTGGGAGACCTGGATGGAGTTCCTGGCTGGGCATTTGGGGAGTGAACCAGGAGATGGAGGATCTCTTCCCTCCTTTCTCCCCCTCTCTCTGCCTTTCAAATAAATCTTTAAATAAAAACATGGCTGCAGGGCCCTCTCTCCACCCCTTGGTGGTCTCCAGGCCCAGGCTGCTCCCCCTCCCCTGTCTCCTGTAAGAAAGCTCAGCACCTGCCGCCCTCGCGGGGTGGGCAGGAATCCACAGCAGCGGCCAAGGGGCAGTGGACGCGTTGGAGGCCCTGGTGGCCTGGCTGAGCAGGGCTGCACGGTGTGGGCCCCTCCCTGCTTCCGGCCTTCACCCCCTCCTTCCACCCCCACCCCAGCTCCAGCACAAATCCCCAAGCCCTGGCCCAGGGTGAGATTATCTGGGCTGGACGCCATGGACGCCGCTCTGCTGCTGAACGTGGAGGGGGTGAAGAAGACCATTCTGCACGGAGGCACCGGGGACCTCCCGAGCTTCCTCACGGGGTCCCGCGTGAGTGCCCCCCTCCCCCCTGCAGATGCCGTCCCCTTGGCCAACAGACGGCCTGCAGCTCTGCCAAAAAGAGCAGCCGGTGGGACCTACCGCCCCCTACGCTCCAGACGACACTTCAGCATTGGCTGGAGCCCCAGGCTCAGGTGTTTGTCCCCAGGTGTCCAGTGGGCTTTGCAGGACCCATGGCTGTGTCTGTGGCCATGACCTCTGGCTGATGTGTGGAGCTGCACGGGGGCGTGGGGGTGTGTGTGTGGGGGGCGAGCTCTTTACCCTGGCTGTGCCAGCAGGTGCAGGTGCTGGCCCCACGGGGCCTCCTGAGCCATTTCCCCCCAGTCTCCAGCGAGCTGACCTCTGGGGACAGTCTTGGGAGTCTGTGACAGTGGGGGCACCTTGTGCCGGACCGTGGGAGCTGTGTCCAGGCCAAGGTCCCTCTCTCGGTGAGCAGGTGACCTTTCACTTCCGCACCACGAAATGCGACGACGAGCGGACGGTGATTGACGACAGCAAGCAGGTGGGCCAGCCCATGCACATCATCATCGGCAACATGTTCAAGCTGGAGGTGTGGGAGACGCTGCTGATGTCCATGCGCCTCCACGAGGTGGCCGAGTTCTGGTGTGACACCATTGTGAGTAGGCCCTGCTGCCACGGGCTCCCCCTCTCGCTGCAGGTGCCAGGGGAGGTGCGGGGGAGACACACAACTCTGCAGAGGGCATTCTGCCCCCTCGTTCCCCGCCTTGGGGAGCGTGAAGATGGGCTCAGCAGAGAGCGCGAGGCCCTGGGGGGCTGGGCTGGGAGGCAGGAGCAAGCCTGAGCCAGGAAGCCACCCTCAGCTGGTGATTACACCAGGGACCAGTGACCTCCGGGAAGAGCAATTTGAAGAAGGCAGGGTGGGGGTGGGGGTGGGTAGAATGATGCTCCGAGCTGGAACTCGGTGCTGTCATTTGTTCGTTCGATCACTATTTCCTCTTCTATCTCTATTTTCTCATCTGCAAGTAAATGGAGCCCTGTCTTAAGGGATTGTTTGGGGGTTGCATGGTATGATGTGTACAAGGGAAATCCCAGACCAGGTTAGTTGAAAAATGGGAACTATTGTTTTGAATCAGAAGAATGTTTGAGAATAGTTTTCTCATTTTTCTAATTCAGAGCTCAGCGAGGGAAAATAGCTCGCCCTGGGCCAAACAGGTGAGGGCCCAGGACCCCAGCGGGACCCTTGGTCCCCTGCTTACCCAGTGCACAGTTGGAATTAGGCTGCAATACTGCGGTCTACCAGCAGGTGGCCACACCTAATGCTGGTGACTCGTTTTTTATCCACTTAGTAAGTTGAGGGTCTTTTTGTTGTGTCAGTCCCTGTGTTACTCTTCATCCTGATTTTAAATATTTCTTAATATTTTAAGAGTTGTTTTAAGATTTATTTTATTTATTTGAAATACAGAGATACAAGGAGAAGTAAAGACAGAGAGAGAGAGAGAGAGAGAGAGGTCCTCCATCCGCTGATTCACAACCCAGTGGCCGGAGCTGAGCCAATCTGAAGCCAGGAGCCAGGAACTTCCTCTGGGTCTCCCACGTGGATGCAGGGCCCCAAGGACTTGGGCCATCTTCTGCTGCTTTTTCAGGGACATTAGCAGGGAGCTGGATCTGAAGTGGAGCAGCTGGGACTCGAACTGGTACCCATATGGGATGCCAGCCCTGCAAGTTGGGGCCTTGACCCACTGCACCACATTGCTGGCCTCCTACCCTGATTTTTTTTAAAAATTATTTTTTTAAAAGGCAGAGTTACATGAAGAAGGAGAGAGACAGACAGACAGACACACAGACAGACACTGAGATTATGAGAGAATGAGAATCTTCTATCCACTCTTCGAATGGCTTTAGTAGCCAGGGCTTGGCCAAGAAAAAGCTAGGAGCCTCAAACTCCACCCAAGTCTCCCACGTGGGTGCAGGGGCCCAGGTACTTTGGCCATTTTCTGCTGCTTTCCCATTCACATTAGCAGAGAGCTGGATCAGAAGTGGAGCAGCTGGGACTTGAACTGGCACTCATGTGGGATGCTGGGCACCATAGGCAGCAGCTTAACCCCACTGTGCCACAGTGCCGGCCTCTCATCCTGGATTTTAAAAAAAACTTTTAAAGTATGGTTTGTACTTATCAATTCAGGCTTCATAAAATTGGCTGCTTTGTGATTTCAGTGAGTGTAAAGTCAGAACCGTGGCCGCCGGCTTTGCTGACGGCGAGGAGCGGCAGTGTGTTTTGGATGGACGATGTGCACTTGGGATGCAGTATCTGCTAGGCAGGCTCGGTCCCCAGGAGCCCTCTCTGTGGGGTGCGTGTGTGCTAGCACAGGAGAGCCGAGCGCACAGAAGGCTGTCAATAACTGCCTGATGGGTTGATTGATTTGTTGTTTGCCAAACCACAAGTAGCTGTTCTCCCATCCTGTGGGGGTGGCTCTGTGGTCCCTGCATCCTTTTTGCCACACTGGTGGTCATGGTGCACCGTGCCCCTCTCTGGCCGGCAGCTGCTTACTGCAGTGAGCCTCAGCTGCCGCGCTCGCCCACCCCCACGCCTCCCAGTCATTTTTCCTCCTCCCCACCAGCTGTCACCCCTGCAGGTGTCAAGCGTCCAGCCCTCCCTTCCACTGGTATCATTGTTCACTCTTCCAGCACGAATCATCCACCTATTTATCTATCTATCAACCATTATTCATCTGTCTTATTTATCATCTATGTACCTATAATCTATTTGCCTTTCTTCCTTCCTTCCTTCCTTCCTTCCTTCCTTCCTTCCTTCCTTCCTTCCTTCCTTCCTTTTCTTTTTCTTTCTTTCCTTCCTTCCCTTCCCCTTCCCCTTCCTTCCTTCCTTCCTTCCTTCCTTCCTTCCTTCCTTCCTTCCTTCCTTCCTTCCTTCCTTCCTTCCTTCCTTCCATCTGCCTATCAGTCAATCTATATATCTAATCAGTTCCATATCTGTGTTATCTCTCCATCCACCATCATCCATTCCTTTTTTAAAGATTTATTTATTTATTTGAAAGTCAGAGTTACACAGAGAGAGGAGAAGCAGAGAGAGAGAGAGAGAGAGAGAGAGAGAGAGAGAGGCAGGTCTTCCATCCACTGGTTCACTCTCCAGATGGCCGCAATGGCCAGAGCTGTGCTGATCCGAAGCCAGGAGCCAGGAGCTTCTTGCAGGTCTCCCACGTGGGTGCAGGGGCCCAAGGACTTAGGCCATCTTCCACTGCTTTCCCAGGCCACAGCAGAGAGCTGCATGGGAAGTGGGGCAGCCAGGACTAGAACTAGTGCCCATATGGGATGCTGGTGCTTCAGGCCAGGGTGTTAACCTGCTGTGCCATAGCACCGGCCCCCATCCATTCCATCTCTCTAGTTCTGTCTCTATCATCTGCTTTTCTTTTCTGTCTCTTTCTAGCCAACCATATACCCATCATCTACCATCTATCATCAATCATCCGTCTGTCAGCCTATCCATCATCCCATCTATGCATCCTAGGTCCATATGTAGACAACGTTCTCTGGCTGGTTGATTTCACCCACACCAGGTGTTGGGAATGAAACAGGCCAAGTCCCAGTGCTCTAGGAACTTGGATCCTGGAGGAGGAGCAGACACAACTGCGATGCAGGGCAGCTGGCGCCACAGCATCCTAGGTGCGGGCAGAGCGCTCTGGGGCCGCCAGAAGGGGGCAGCTAACTTCTTAAGCTCTCAGGGGGATGGTGTAAGAAGACGATGTTGAGGGGCCTGGGAAAGGCTCCACATGGTGCATTTATACAGCTCTGCTTCCTGTGTGGGGCATCTCCCCATGCCGGATCCTGCTCCCTGGAGAGGCTAAGCAACGGTGGGACAGCCACATCTCTTGGACAGAGGACTCAGGGAGCCCGCTCACCCCCTGCACAGCCCTCTGCCTGCACAGTCCTGGTTGGATTAGCTTGAGTTCAGGTCTCTTCAGGGCTACAGCGCTTCCTCTCTCCCTCCCTGTCCTGAACCAGAGGAACAGGGCCAGGCAGGGGTGCTGGGAGCTCCCACCCCATTCCCCAGGGAGGATGTCTGTGTAAGACATTTTGCTGGTGGCCGGTCTTGGCAAGCCAGAATTGCAGCTTCAATTCCAAATGGGGCCAAGAGCTCTGGTTGCCTGGAGATCACCTGCCTCATTGGTGGGGGGCGAGGGCTGCCACTCAGCTCTGATGGGACACTTGCCTCACGAAAGGGTGGGGCCCAGTGGGGCCGGCCACGTGAAAGATTTCTGAGCCAAGCCAGGAGCCTGTCAACCTTGCCACTGCTAAACGCTGGCCACTGATTAAAAACCAACTGAGCTACACCAAGCAGAACCCAGGCAGAACCGGGCCCTGGCCTTGGAGCCCAGAGAGGGGTGGTGACCCTGGCCGCCGTCTGTCTCCCCTATCCCTACTCCACCTTGTAGCCCTAGTGTGCTGACCATGTCCACAGCTGGAGTCCAGCTCCACAGAGCCCTGTGTGTGGGGTGGCTGTGGCTCCCCTACCAGCCCAGCACGGGCAGCTAAGCCTCCAGGGCAGGGCCAGCACTAAGGCTGGCCTCCCTGCAGGTGCATCTCTGGGAGAGTGCAAGGCTCTCCTCCCTGGGACTTTCCCCGCTCCTGGTGGCGTCTTGCAGCCCACTGCTGTCGGCCAGGGCTCTGGGCGTGTGCGGAGGCCGTGCCCACACAGCTGCCTGGGTGTGGAGTGCTGGAAGTGGGGGCTGCTGAGTCAGGGCCAGGAGCGCCCCTCCCCCTGCACCCCAGCTTAGTCCAGCCTTAATCCCGGCAGGCTCAAGTGCTATCTGGGGTCTCTCACAAAGCCGCATGTCCGTCATCTCAGCTGATCCCGGCTGCCGGGCGTGGGAGAGGTGACCTTCAGCCCGTACTGGTGATGTAGGGGGTGCAGATGGGAACAGCTCCCGCCCCCTTGCTCTCCCCACATGCGCCTCTCCTGGAGAAGCATGTGGGAGCCCGAGCTGAGCTGTCTCAGAACCCAGTGGAGGAGATGCGCTCTCAGGATCTGGCTGGGGAAGCTGAGGCCCAGCGAGCCACATGACTGATTCTCCCAGCCCCCCTCCCCACCCGGGGGGCAACCCCCCGCTTCTGGTGGTGGGCAAGGCTGCGAGGTGCCAGTCCTCTCACTGCATTGCCCCTTCTCAACCCTGCCGCAGCTCCAGTACCGGGCAGGTGCAGCCAAGGGAACTGGGCAGCATGAGGCTAGCCCCCCCCCCCCCCCCCCCCCCCGCAGCCAGCTTTGAATCCTGGCTTTCCTTTCCCTGTGTGACCTTGAGCAAGTGACTTAACTCCTGTGGACTCACTTCCTCATCTGTGGAATGGGCATTACCTGGCGCGTCCCTAGTCACCTTGAGGATGGAAGGCGCTAATAAGCGAGAAGCGCTTTGCCGGGTGCGGTTAGCCACAGTTCCCGACTCGGGGCGCGGTCCACGGAGTGGGGGCTACGGCGCACGCGCCGAGTGGCTGGCCCGGGCGCCATCCGCCTGTCTCTCTGCACAGCACACGGGCGTCTACCCCATCCTGTCCCGGAGCCTGCGGCAGGTGGCCGAGGGCAAGGACGCCACCGAGTGGCACGTGCACACCTGCGGGCTGGCCAACATGTTCGCCTACCACTCGCTGGGCTACGAGGACCTGGATGAGCTGCAGAAGGAGCCTCAGCCCCTCATCTTCATCATCGAGCTGCTGCAGGTGGGGGCGGGGCGCGGGCTGCCCCGGCTTCAGCATCTTCGGGGAACAAGGCAGGGTTCAGGACACTGGAGGAGAGTTGGGAGTTGAAAAAAAAATCCTCTTTTTTCCAATAGAAAAGTCCATTTGGACCAATTTTTTAGAATGTGTTTCGCCTCTATTTTGGATGCGTTTTCCTCCTGTTGTTGTCTGTTTCCATTGTTGTCAATTTCAAGTTTAGGCCGACAGCCTTGTCCAGGGGCCCTGGGCTTTGAGGGCTCAGACTGTGTTCCTGATGGTGGAGTGGTCTGGAAATAGCCTCATCCTCTCTCCACATCCTAATGTGATTGACGTTTGGGGTGGTGGGAGGGGCCAGGGCCAGGGTCAAGGCTGGGGCTCACCCTGGGGGCTCACCCTGGGAGCTCCTTGGGTGTTGGTTGACTCAGGGCCTTTATCAAAAGCCTGAACAGTCGTGAGGTCTGCTCACTGCCCAAGAGCGCCCTCTACATTTGGTCCTTAGACCTCGCACATTTGTATTTTCATACAGACAGTTGCAGCAGGTGGCGAAGTCCTATGGAGACAGTAAATGAGTATCTGTGCAATGGCCTAAACCTTGCAAGTGTCTTGACAAAAAGTGCCTTTTCCTAACTTCTACAACAGCACTGATTGAGGGCGGGGTCCGGGGCCTTGCCGCCGCCTCATCTGCCAGCAATGCAGTGTGGCCTCTGGTGGTGAGAGGCGCTGCGGGCCGCCCTCTCCGGTCCCTGCCTCGCTGACCTGCAGCCCTCGGGCAGGTGGAGGCCCCGAGCGAGTATCAGAGGGAGACGTGGAACCTGAACAACGACGAGAGGCTGCAGGCCGTGCCCGTCCTCCACGGGGAGGGGAACAGGCTCTTCAAGCTGGGCCGCTACGACGCCGCCTGCACCAAGTACCAGGAGGCCATCGTCTGCCTGAGGAGCCTGCAGACCAAGGCAGGCGGCTGCCCTGCGGGCGGGGGCCTGGGCGCGTGGGGGGCGTGGGGAGGAGCAACCCCGCCCCCGCCAGGACCAGGCTGGGGGGGGGGGGGGGGGCGGGGCAGCCGGAGCTCACGGCCCACTTTCCGCTTGGGGCAGGAGAAGCCCTGGGAGGTGCCGTGGCTGAAGCTGGAGAAGATGATCAACACCCTCATCCTCAACTACTGCCAGTGTCTGCTCAAGAAGGAGGAGTACTACGAGGTGCTGGAGCACACCAGCGACATCCTGCGGCACCACCCGGGTACGGGGCGTCTCCTCCCCACCCTGCCCTGGCCCCAAGCCTCGTCCTCGCCCCGCAGGGGGTTCCGCAGGTGGGCCGTATTTATGAAGCCAGGGTTTGACAGCATCAAACCGGCACCCTCAGGCACCAGGTGCTCTGTGTTTATTTTCATAATCTTCAGCATCGCGTGGGGGCAGGTGCAGGGATAGGGCCCCCGGGGTTACCGCTTTGTGAGTATGAAGTCAGTTACGGGGCCTTGGGAGGGTACTGCTGTGAGTGCGCTCTCGACTGTACGGTCGAGGAGACTGAGGCACGGTGGGGTGCAGAGCCGCCGCGGGCTCCGGGCAGTGGCCGGCCAGCCTGGGGGGAGTGTCAGTCAGGTGGGCGCAATCGGATCTTCCCCGCAGGCATGGTGAAGGCCTACTACGTGCGGGCGCGGGCGCACGCGGAGGTGTGGAACGCAGCCGAGGCCAAGGCAGACCTGGAGAAGGTGCTGGAACTGGACCCGTCCATGCAGAAGGCGGTGCGCAGGGAGCTGCGGCTTCTGGAGAGCCGCATGGCCGACAAGCAGGAGGAGGAGCGGCTGCGCTGCCGGAGCATGCTGGGCTAGGGCGCAGGCGCAGGCGCAGGCGCGCGCGGGGCACGCAGGTGCACCTGCGCCCGGCGTCCCTCTGCGGCGCTCAGATGGCGAGAAGGGGGCGGGGTCTTCTCTCAATTGGCCAGGATTCTGGTGTCACTTTTTAAGATTTAAAGTTAATTCTTTTAAAACCCCCAAATCAAAAAAGAGCATAGGAGAGGTTGTGAATAAAAGTGAAATTCTCTCCCCCAGCACCGCTGTTCCTGACCGAGGGCTAGTAGTTTTAAGGGAGCCGACATTTAATTCTTCTGGTACTCTCTTCTGTCTCCAAGTCACGTGTGTAAAGCAGTTTCCCCACATGTCATTTCTATGCCACTACAAAGAAAAGTAAGCGTTGAGCTGACGCCGTCTTGGCTCCCCCCCCCCTTCTCCCAGTGCTGGGCAGTTATAACTTTGGATCCTCTTTTGCTGGTGTTTATCACTTCGTAGAACTCTCTAGAATCGCAGGAACTTCCGTCGTTCCCATGGTCAGCATCCTCCTTTGGCTCTGTAACCCGGATGGAGCCTCCAGCGCTCTGCCCAGATCTGAGCATCAATAAACAGTATCTGCCTGGTTATGGCTGCGTTGGCTTTGCCGCGGGCCCCGTGGGGCTCTGAGTTCCAGACCCTGGGCTGCCGGGGCAAGTGTGTCCCTGGTGTGGGAGAGGTGTTGTGTGTTTGAACGTGGCCGTGGATGATGCGCTCTCCTTCTGTGTTGGGGCTGGAGCCCTCCCTACTTTGGAGAAAAGGGGGAGAGAACTGTTTCTTGGCTGAGAGTCAAGGGAGCCACCCAGGAATACCGCGACGGAGCCAGGCAAGGGGAGGGGGTTTACAGGAGGTCGCAAAGAGGGGACATCCCGAGTGAGGGATGGAAGGTCAACAGGGGAGGAGTGTCCGGGGGCCCAGGGGTGTCCCCGGAGCTGGAGGAGTGGTGCATCAGGGAGGGAGGCCAGGCCAGGGGAGGAGGGTCAAGGGTACCTTCACCCACCACCTCCCAGGTGCATCGCCATGGGAGACAGGCCCGAGAGCTGTCGGAACAGCTGGAGCTGCCAGTGAGGTGCCAAAGCAGAGGAGAGCAAGAGGCAGAGCCCGAGGGCCAGGAACCATAGCCTGCAAACCTTCCACATTCCTTGGTCCTGTCCGCTCTTTCTCCTGGGCAGAGGATGGATCCGACCTCATTTGCAGTCACTACGCGGCCTGCAGACTCCCCAGCAGGTCCGGGGTCCAACTTGGCCTGGTCTTCCTCGTTCTGAGAGTCATCGCCCCTCCAGATACCCGGGACCTTGGCAAGCCCAGGAAAAGAGGGCAGGAGCCAGGGCATTTAAAGTGTGGTGGCAGATACCTCCAGGAGAGCATGTTCAGGGACCCCTGGTCCTGTGAACCAGTGCAGAAGTGTAGGCTCAGAAGTGGGGTGAGTCACAGGCAGCCAGCCAGGACTCTTGTCTCCGCATGAGGTTCCTTTTATGCCTTGCAAACCGGCCTGAAGGGGGAGGTCCTGGCTGGCCAGGCCTGGGCAGGTTGGGAGGCGGGAGCCTGCTGGGGTCATGTTCCCAGGGCTCCTAAACCAAAAATCCAGCTGGAAGTGTTTATCTCATAGTGGCCGGCAGGGGGCAGAAGAGATTAAGAGATCTGCGGTCCTTGAGCTGGGAGCTGCAGAGACCAAGTTTGGGCCGTGGATGTGTGGCCTCTCCAGCGGCCCTGACTACCCCAACTCTTGCATGGGGGAATAGGGAGATGCTTAAGAACCATGGAACACACCACCAGCACTCTAGGGCCTCGGAGACAACTCCCATCCCCTTGCACAGATGGGGAAACTGAGGCTGAGGGAGAGGCAGGGGCTTTCCAGCTCTTACTCCACAGCTGGGGTGGAGCCCAGACTTGCTTCCAGGCTTCTGGGCTGGAGTCCTGTGCTACGTGCTGCTGCCTCCCTCGCCAGGTAGCCCAAACACAGGTGTGATGTACTGGACCAAAGGAGGGAAAAAAGGAAATTTAGGGAGAAGCCGGAGCGTGTCGGGAGCCTTGGTCTGGGCGCGGTTAGAGGAGGCAGCAGGAGCGAGTGAGCGGGGCTGGTGGGGGATTCACAGCCCCTGTGGCCTGGCCACTCCCTCTGAGACTCTCTTCTGGTTAACTCATCGGCTTCCAGATATGAGCTGTCCTTCTAGCCTCTGTCCCAGCAGGAGTGGAAGGGATTCTAGGGTAGGGAGTGCTTTGGGAGGGTTACGAGGGGCCTGGGTGGCCAGAGGGGGCCCCCGTGGCTTGTGCAGGATTCCTGTGATTGCTGAAGCTAATCGCCACAGACCCGAAGGCTTACCCTCTGTGGTTCCGGGACTCAGGAGCCCTAACGTGGCCCTCGCACCCGTGTGCTCCCTACAGCCTCCGGGGCAGAGGGTTTCTTGCCCTTTTTGGCTGCTGGAGGCCACCTGCGCTGTTGGCCCCTGGCTCCGCCATCAGAGCCAGTTCTCGGGTGTGCCTCTATCTCCGTCACTGTGTCGCCTCTGTGGTCTCTGACCCCCTTGTGCCTCCGAGGGGGACCCTGTGACTCTGTTGGACCACTTCCCTGCCTCTGCGCCCTAGACTTCATCATGTCCCGTCTGCCAGGTAAGGCGACCTGTTCACGGGTCTGGAGCCAGGACGAGGGCACCATGCAGCCAACACAGCCGGTCCCTCTCCATCTCTCCCCTCTCGGTTCCCAGCCCTGCTCTGGCCTGGAGGCTCCTTGCCTTCTGCCGTCCAGCGAGTTTGGCCACCGGGGGCACCAGTGGACCTGCTCTCGGAGGAGAGCAGGTGGTGTGTGTTTCTCCGAGTGCCTGCTGTGTTCCTCGCTGTGTGGTCACAGTTGGTGTCCTGGTGTCTCTCGCTGGTCCCCGGAGCAGCAGGAGCCTCCCTGGGTCTGGTTTCCCACTCCTCACCCTTTTGTGGGCTCCCTCGAGTCCATTTTTGCCTTCATTCCACCCTCTGCGGCTGCCCCTGGGAGCAGATGCCCTCTTAGCTGACAAATCCCACCAGGTCCACCCTGGAGGCTGCTCCAGGCCAGCGGGAGCAGGGAGGAGCTGGGAGAGGTTGGGGATGGGTGGGGTCGGAGGCAGGGCCGGAGTTTGCATTCGTGCCCCGAAACAGCAGATGGGCACCAGAGTCAACATTTGCCTTCCCCTCTCTCGGCGCACACCTCCTAAGCTGCAGAGCCACCATTTCAGGGTGGCCCGCACTGGGTGTGGAAAACATGGGGGAGGCATGCAGCATGGTGCCTGTGAGCGACAGCCAGGCAACCTGCAGTTTGGCCAACGATTCCACCGTCCATAGCGTGGGTCCTGCAGGCTGAGCTGCGCCTGGCAGCCATACCACATATCCACCACAAGGTGGCGCCACCAGCTCCAGGTAGCACTGGGAGGTAGGTGGCTTGCTCAGGTTTCTAGTGGCCAAGCTCAGAGCTGACCTACGTGGGAGGGACGCACAGCGGGAGGCCTTTCCACCTGTAGGTCTGAAGCTTAGTGAGTGCTGGGAGCAGAGATGACCCGAACGGAACAGATCAGAGTGACGTTTGGTCACATTTCCTGCACGGCCCCTTATTCCTGGAAATTACCCCCCAGCAGTTTAGGGTTGGGGGGGCCTGGGGTTGAGGGGCCCCCTGGGGCTTACCTGTGTCCTGGGTTCCTCCAGAGCACAGAACCTCTCCATGGAAAGCACTCTGATCTCAGCTTGTTGGCGGCCTGGGGGATACAGCGATACCCCGGGGTGACACAGGTGTGGTACCGGGGGACTCCGTCTTGAATTTCACCTGGGCCACATGGTCCCTGAGCAGAGCGGGGGTGGGGGGGGCTTGTCTCGACCCCGAACACGGAGTCTCTGCAGTCAGGGATGGAGGCCCGGGGTGGCTCTGCCTCAGTCCCCGCCCCCGCCCCGCCCCGCCCCGCCCCGCCCCTCCCCTCCTGGGCAGGCAGGGGAAGGTCAGGCAAACCTTGGCGCTTCTTGATGGTGGCTTTGAGTTTGCAGAGTTCCTGGCCTAATTACAGTTGCCCCCTGACGGCAGGCTTTCTCATGAGTGCGAGAAGCCAGTGAACAAAGAATCTCGCCTTTGCTCTTGCCGCTGACAAACATATCCCGGGGAGATGGTTGGAGCATCTGTCTTTCCCCAGCCGTCCTGGGGCTCCCACTTCTCCTGGAAGGCGGAGGCTTGCATGGGGCTGGTTTGCTGCCAAGTCCCCGGCAGCCGGCGTGGGGCCTGACCGTGCCCAGTGGCCCGATCACACGTACACATAGGCTGTGTGAGTCGGTCTCTTTCTGAAACACACAGCCCAAGTCTCACCTGTGTAACAGCCAATGATCCAGGCCAACACCTTTGGGTACAGCTGGAGAAACTGAGGCCCGGAGAGGAGAAGGGACAGGAGCAAGGTCACAGCCGTGAGGCCCGGGCAGCTCCCTGTCCGTCATGCAGTGTCTTCCTGTCCCGCCCGCCTCCCCCCCTCAGGAAGGCAGGACAGAGGCTGTGTCTCACCCTGGTGGGGCTGCTTCACCCAGGGGCCGAGGAGCCCTGGCCGGGCCTGCCAGCTCCTTCGCCAGGGGCCTGGGGAGGGCGACAGAGAGGGGGAGGTGGAGGTGTCCAGGTGGAGACAGCAGTGCGGTGGGAAGGGGCCCAGGGGTAGCCTGAGATCAGGACCCTAAGCTGGAAAACGAGAGAGGAAAGGGGGAGGGTGGGGTGGGTGCTGGGGACACGAGGTGTGGTTTGTGGGGCTGGGTGTTGGGCGTAGTGGTTAGGACATCGCCTTCTGCCGTCACCATGCCTGAGTTCCAGTCCTGGCTCCAGGAACTTTTGGTTCCAGCCTCCTGCTGACGGGCACACTGGGTCAAGCACAAGGGTCCCTGTCCGTTGTGTGAGAGAGCCAGGTGGAGCCTGGCTTTGGCCTGGTCCAGCCCCTGCTGTAGGCATTTGAGGGGTGAACCAGTAGATGCGAGATCTCTCCCCAGCGTGTCTTGCAAATAAATGTTTTTAAAACTTAGCAACCGCAAGAAGCTGTGTGCGTGAGGATCTCCGACAGCCGCACCTGCCGCTAGGAGCAGCCAGCTGTGCACACGATTCCGTAAAGCAAACGCAACTGTACCAGTGACTGCCGCTGTTCAGACAGACGTGCGCCTCAGAGAGAAATGCCCTTTACTGAAAATAACTGCACAGCATTGTCGCAAGGCTGCGCACCTGTGACGGACACATCGAGTACTTTGCTTGGTCCTCCCTACTCTGCTGAGTTGGGCCATGAGCTGCCAGGGGCTGGGGCGTCTTGTGGCAGGGCTTCTCCCTGGCTGCGGGGGGGCGTTTTCTGGGGCAGGAGGCTGGGTCTCGGGCTTACCTCCTCTTCTCCCAGCCCTTTTGTTGTCGTCCAGAAAGGGAGGGGTTAAATCTGGGTAAGGTCCGAGGGCCCTCCTCTTGCCAAGCTGGAGATGTAGGAGAGCCCACAGCTCTTTTCTTTCTTTCTTTAAAGATTTCTTTTGTTGTCTTTGAAAGGTAGAGTTACAGAAGTGGGGGGGGGGGAGTTAGCCATCCTCCATCCTCTGGTTCACTCCCCAGATGGCTGCA